AATTTGTTTAAAGTAATTGTTCAATATTGTTTCTTGCCTCGTAGCATCACATATTGTTTAGTGTTATCTTTTACCTAAAACTAAAATCATATAAAATGTCATACCAAAATCTGTATATTTAAGACAACAAGATAAAGAAATAACAATGGCCATAATTGAACTAAGAAACTATTCTACTTACCTTAATGTAGTTGTTTAATTTTTTAAATATATCCTTTTTAAAAGAGCAGTTGTATAATACACAATCCCAAATAAATTCTTTAAGTTATAAAGTTATCATGTTACTTATTAAAAAATAACTAAAAAGTATTTCTTTATTTTAAGTATATTCAATTTTGTAAATAAAAAAATTAAGTCAGTCAAAAGATTATTCCTAAAAATCAGAATTTAAAAGTAGAAAATTAATTTTTTTTCAAAACCTAAAAAAGTACAACACTCTACTCATTGCATCATGAGAATATGAAAAATCAAAGCTAGATGGACTATATTACTAAATAACTCTTGTCTAAACAAAGGTTTTTTAAGGGCATGAGATATTCAATTTCAAACAAATATTTAAAGTGTTAGGTACATAGTTTTCGCATACTTCTTTTGTTGGAGTAGCTAGTTTAGATAGTTAGCTTGTTAATGTTGGTTATAAGTTTGTTAGTTGTTTGAGATTTTTTTCTCCTCCTTTTGTGTGACTTGGCACTCTATATAAGTGTCTTCTTTCTTACTGGACAAGTTGTAATTTTCATTTGCTCAATAATCAACAGGATGAATTTTTCGGTTTCTTTCTTCTGTAAACTCCAACATGCAGGCCCAGAGGCGGACCCACCTTGAGTCCTATGGGGTCTCGGGACCCCACGGACCCCGGTGTAGGTCCATATAGGTATTAGGTCTGTAAAAGTATTAATATATAACAAACGCGTAGCACCAGGTTACCATAATTGTGTTTGGTTAAGTGGAAGCGTGCATATCCCTAGAACTGCTGTACCCCGGGTTCAATTCCCTTCTTGGGTATTTTAGGAGTCAATTTTTTCTTTTTTTAAAAAAAAGAGTATGAAACAAAACGACGTCGTTTTGTGCGTAAAAATTAAAACGTGTATCTTCTCTCCAGCACACATATTTCCTCTGCAAATTTGACCTCTCTTCCCCAAACCTCTATTTCAAATTTTTAATTTTAAACCCTAACCTTCGGCGATTCTCCGTCTCTCTTTCTCGTCGCTCGTCGGCCTTTGTTCACCGTGCCGCCGAAGTGCGACCACTGTCCATAGCGGCAGCCCCAGCACGTAATTACTCTTAAAAACTTTTCTTTATTTTACTAAAATCAATTTTTATGGTAGTTTGAAGTTTGATATATGATTAGTAATATATAAATATATAATAATTTAAAAATTTAGTTTTTATTCATTACTTATTCATTAAAGAAGAATACTTTTCTTTTTATTAGTAATATATGGATGTTCACTCTAACCATAGATTCAATGATTTAAAGAGTATTGTTGAGCTCTCAATGAAAATGGTGTCCACTAAAAAGTCTCTTACCGTATGATTTCACATATGCTCTCATAAAGTTGGCATTGGTACTTCCTGAGGCAACAACAAGTGTTGAACGGTGTTTTTCGGGAATGTAGTTCGTGAAGAATGAGTTGTGGAGTAAAATTTGTGATCAATGGTTGAATGAATGTTTAGTAACTTATGTTGAGAGAGATGTCGTTTCTACCATTAGTGATGATGTAATTATAGATCACTCCAAAAGTATGAAAACTAGAAGAGTACAATTGTGAATAATATTATTTTCGTATGACTTTACTTCTATGTATTAATTATGATACTTTTCAAATATTAGTTTTAATTTATTGTTAAATGTTAAAACTTATGAAATAGTTTGAGATGAGAATGGGAGGTAGAGGACCCCATGGTAGTAAAATCCTGGATGCGCCTCTGGCAGGGCCGGCCCGAAGAAAAAACAGGCCCTGTGCGAAAATAAAAAATCGACCTCTATTGACTATCATATATTATAAAAGTAAAATTTAAAAAACTTTCATAATCATTCTAAATAAAAATTAAATTTCATAAAACTTTTAGCAATACCTATTCTAGATTTTGAAACAATTAGCAATAAAAACTTTTAAAAGAGGAAAGATTTTAAAAACCTCATTTTTTATCAAATTATAATTCATTAATCATTCTAATTAAAAATTAAATCTCATTAAACTATAAACTATTCAAGTATAGAAGAATAAAACATAGATGACACATTTAAAAATTTAAAAGATAAATAAAATTAGGAATTTGATCATTAAAATCAATAAATTATAATAAATTATATGTTCATACCTGAAGACCGAAGTCAATGCAGAAGTCCTGGACGGCGTAGTGGTGAGGCGGGTAGCCAGAGGCAGTCGAGATGAGGCAACTCTTCTTCTTCCTTCGACTTTTGGTCTTCCGCGGTTCCTTTAACTGGTTCCGTACTTCCGTTTGCGGCTGCTCAAGAGCTTTTTGGCCATTTTATTTGGGCCTCTTATTATATACCATACACACTACTATTTATTTAAAAAATTGGGCCCTAGTTTTTTGGGCCCTGTGCGGTTGAACACCCTGCACAGGCCCACGGCCGCCCCTGCCAACATGGTATTAGAGCTATAATTCGTCTCTTTTGCATCTCATTTTTCGATCTTCATCGCCGGCTTCAATGGCAGACAACAACACTACAAATTTTGGGAGAATTGATCCTTCCGATCCATATTACCTTCATCCTTCAGATCATCTAGGTTTAATTCTCATCTCAATTTTTATGACTACCCCACAGTGAAATAAGTTCTAAAAAACTGCTTCATTTTGTGTATCTTTACTAAAATGGTGTACAAATAAATCATATTTAGGTTTTTTACCTTTTCCCGGACCTTCAGAGATCTCGAGCTCACCTCTCTCCTCGTCGGCAGGATCGTTGCTCTCGGGTGTTGGTTCCACATACTCTTCAACGTCCTTGAATATATTTTCAAGAGTGAAGATTGGCATCATTCTTACCTCCTAAATACTGGTCTAATTCTTGATCAATCATAGCGTTGCCCATGAATTGATGGGGGATTGTATGAAAGGAAGAGACAGTGTGTCTTCTTTGAGAAGCACGTGACCTCGAACCTTCGGAGGTGGCGATGACTTTGCCTTTGTTAGAACCTCCTCGGTTCACAACGCCCATATCTACGGACATTCTTCCAGATTCCCTCGACAGTCGACATTTTAATATATTTTTATATTCATAAAGAATAGGATAATATATTAGAAATTTAAAATATTATACTATTCTAAATTTATAATATTAATAATACAATATATTCGAATTCCAGAATATATTATAGTATAAATATATATAGGAATATAATATATTTATAATATATGATTATATATTTATATTATATAATATAAATAAATATAAAATGTATAAAAGAGAGAATTTAGTAAAAGATTAAATAGAGATTAGGAGAGAGAGATTGATAGGTGAATTAAAAAAATGAGGGGAGTATTTATAAGTAAAAGATAACCCCCACCCCAAACCCCTCACTCCGGCTATATTGTCGTTGGAGACACTCCTCAGGGCCAAAAAAAAATATTAAAATTGGACCGAAATTGCCGGTCCTGGTACCAAAATCTATATACTGAACCGGGCGTCTCTGGTCCTCCGTAGTTTGCTGTAGGGTTGTAAACGAACCGAATCGAATATTCATGAAAATATTCATATTTGTTAAGATGATGCGATATTCGAATTCGAATTCGGTTCGAATATTTTTTAAGATTCATATTCGGTTCGTTTAATATATTAAACATATTCGCTTCGTTTAAATATTCGATTCGTTTAAATATATTTGGTTCGTTTAAAAATATTCGATTCATTTAGGTTTTAAAATATTTTATAACCATTTGATATATATATATATATATATATATATATATATATATATATATATATATATATATATATATTATTTGTATAATTAGATTTATATTCCGAATATATTTGTCAAACTCACGAATCGAATACCCTTGATTCATATTCGTATTCGATAAAGATTCAAATATTTATTCAGATTCGTATTCGTATTCGGATTTGAAAAAATTGCATACGAATCACCTTAAACGAATACAAATAAGGAATCGAACAAAAAATATTCTATTCATTTAGAGCATTTACAATGGCAAGGCAAAAATGAAATGCCGCATGGTGACATGGATTATTTCAACCAATAAAAAGTAATCCAGTCACCGTGTGGCAAATGAGTGGAGTGTTGTAACATACAGTGGCAAGTCGTTGTTTTTGTTTATTTTTGCACCTTTTAATGATTTTTTATTATAAAAAAATATTTTAAAAATCTAATTTATTATTAAAATATGTTTACTTCTTTTAAAAAAATATTTTTTTCAAAAATTAAAAAAAATTAAAAATATTAAAAAAATAAAAAATGAGAGTCATGCCTTGCACATGGAATGAAAAGTGGGGTGGAATAGTCATGGAATGCCATGATTTAAGTGGAATTTGCTGACATAGCATGACAAGGTATTGTCTTGCCATTGTGAATGCTCTTACATTACGCTTGTGTTTGGATGGAGTGAAATTGGAAGGAAAGAAAAGGTTGGGAGGGAAAACACAATTCCCAAAAAATTTTCATTTGTTTGTTTGCAAGAGAAAATGGGGAGGGAAAGGAAAATGACTCCCATTCCAAACTAAAAAATTTTCTCCTCTCAATAGGTGATAAAATTGTTTAGATGGAGAGAAAACTATTGAAATGACACTTTTGCCCTCTATTGCATTCACTTTTTAAAAACATAAATATATAATAAGGATAAAATTGTCTTTTTATTTTAACATATTTTCTTTCCACTTCCATTTTCTCTCTATTTTCTACCTATCCAAACAACATTCATTTTCTTTCCATTTTCTCTCCATTTTATCTTCTCTCCCTTTTCTTTCCACCCAATTTCTCTCCTTCCATTTTCTCTCTTTATCCAAACAATGCCTACAACCCTAGTTCCCTACCGTGACCGTGTCTAGGAGTATTAATGGGTCAGGAAAGAAAAGAGGGGGCGGTCAGTTAGCTATAAGTAGTCTGGGGACGGGGCCAGAACTACGCAAACCCTACTCCTTCCATTCGATCGTCCCTCTCAGAGTCTCAGCCGCCATAGTTTTCACCGTAGTATCTCAGTCGCGACCCTACGTCGCCGACGACGGATAGGAGGTAATGAATCAATACTTTTGATCTCTTTCTCTAAAAAAAATAAAATAAAATAATAATAATAATAATTAATGATTGAATTAGTGTGAATCTGAATGCGAAAGACTGCTATTGATTAAAAATATGAGCTTGGCTTCTGTTCGTATATAATTATTTTCTATGTGGATGGTGATGCAAAAATTTCTTTATTGGGTTGACATCTTTTCTCCTGGAATTAGCCATTGGATGATTAAGTTGTGCATGAGCTACGGATCTGGATAGGAATGAATATTGATAATGACTCACTGATTGTATGCCTTTTAATCTGTTTGTGGTGGAAAATGTTAGTATAAAATTGGATTTCTGATTCTTGATTTCTAATGTTGTCACCTTGTCTTGATTCACAGGCATTTGGAGGAAGTCCTACATCTATAATAGTTGTTGATAAATTTAGAGCCTAGTCAAAATGGTAAGCAAGATGATGGTGTTTCAGTTTCTCAGTGTTCTTATATATATTATGAAATCTTGAGCTTTTTTGCTCACAAGGTGGTTTTCTTAATATTTGCAGGTGAAGTTTACAGCTGAAGAGCAACGTAAGATTATGGACTTCAAGCATAACATTCGTAATATGTCTGTTATTGCTCATGTTGATCACGGTGAGACAGATTTACTCTGGTTTGATGTGTTTTACATTTATTGTGTTTTTGCCATCGACGTGATTCATATGCTTTCTGCTGCATTTATCTATGAACAGGGAAGTCAACTCTGACCGACTCCCTTGTGGCTGCTGCTGGTATTATTGCCCAAGAAGTTGCTGGTGATGTTAGAATGACAGATACTCGTGCAGATGAAGCTGAACGTGGTATTACCATCAAATCCACTGGTATCTCATTGTACTATGAAATGAAAGATCGGGACTTGAAGGGCTACAAGGGAGAGAGGGATGGGAACGAGTACCTCATCAACCTTATTGATTCACCTGGGCACGTTGACTTCTCTTCTGAAGTTACAGCTGCCCTTCGTATCACAGACGGTGCACTTGTCGTTGTTGATTGTATTGAAGGCGTGTGTGTGCAAACTGAAACTGTCCTCCGTCAGGCCCTTGGTGAGAGGATTCGACCTGTCCTAACTGTGAACAAGATGGATAGGTGTTTCCTTGAGCTCCAGGTTGATGGTGAAGAGGCTTACCAGACATTCCAAAGGGTTATTGAGAATGCCAATGTCATCATGGCTACATATGAAGACCCCCTCCTCGGCGATGTCCAAGTTTACCCAGAGAAAGGTACAGTTGCTTTCTCTGCTGGGTTGCATGGCTGGGCTTTTACTCTTGGGACCTTCGCTAAGCTGTATGCCTCCTCATATGGTTGGGATGAGGCTAAGACAATGGAGAGACTGTGGGGAGAAAACTTCTATGACCCTGCTGCAGCCAAAAAGTGGACCAAGAAACACACAGGTTCTCCCACTTGCAAGCGTGGGTTTGTTCATCTATGTTACGATCCTATTCAGAAGATCATCAACCTGTGCATGAATGATCAGAAAGATAAGCTGTGGCCGATATTACAGAAGCTTGGAGTCACCATGAAGTCTGACGAGAAGGAATTGACGGGCAAGGCTTTGATGAAGCGTGTTATGCAGACCTGGCTTCCTGCTGCAGATGCTCTATTGGAAATGATGATCTTCCACCTTCCATCTCCTGCCACAGCTCAAAAATACCGTGTTGAGAACTTGTATGAAGGCCCTCTTGATGATCAGTATGCAAATGCAATCAGAAACTGTGATCCAGAGGGCCCTCTTATGTTGTATGTGTCGAAGATGATTCCAGCATCTGACAAGGGGAGGTTCTATGCCTTTGGCCGTGTGTTTGCTGGCAAGGTGTCCACAGGTATGAAGGTCAGAATTATGGGTCCGAATTATGTACCTGGTGAGAAAAAGGACCTGTATGTTAAGAATGTGCAAAGGACTGTCATTTGGATGGGTAAGAAACAGGAAACTGTTGAGGATGTTCCGTGCGGTAATACTGTTGCTATGGTTGGTCTTGATCAGTTCATCACCAAGAATGCCACCTTGACCAACGAGAAAGAAGTTGATGCACATCCAATTCGTGCAATGAAGTTTTCAGTGTCTCCTGTTGTCCGTGTTGCCGTGCAATGCAAGGTTGCATCCGACCTTCCCAAGCTCGTTGAAGGTTTGAAGCGTCTATCCAAGTCTGATCCCATGGTTGTCTGTACAATTGAGGAATCTGGTGAGCACATTATTGCTGGTGCTGGAGAACTCCACCTTGAGATCTGTTTGAAAGATCTGCAAGAAGATTTCATGGGTGGTGCTGAAATTATAAAGTCTGATCCAGTTGTTTCCTTCCGCGAGACTGTGCTCGAGAAATCTTGTCGTACTGTGATGAGCAAATCTCCCAACAAGCACAACCGTCTGTACATGGAAGCCAGACCCATGGAGGAAGGACTTGCTGAGGCCATTGATGAAGGCCGTATTGGTCCAAGGGACGACCCTAAAGTTCGATCCAAGATCCTGTCGGACGAGTTTGGTTGGGACAAGGATCTCGCTAAGAAAATCTGGTGCTTTGGCCCCGAGACCACCGGTCCTAACATGGTTGTAGACATGTGCAAGGGAGTACAGTACCTTAACGAGATCAAGGATTCTGTTGTTGCCGGGTTTCAATGGGCTTCCAAGGAGGGTGCTTTGGCTGAAGAAAACATGAGGGGTATTTGCTTTGAGGTCTGTGACGTTGTACTTCATGCCGATGCGATCCACAGAGGTGGTGGTCAGGTGATCCCAACTGCCAGGAGAGTTATCTATGCCTCTCAACTCACTGCCAAGCCCAGGCTTTTGGAGCCCGTCTACCTGGTTGAAATCCAAGCACCGGAGCAAGCCCTCGGCGGAATCTACAGCGTTCTGAACCAGAAGCGCGGGCACGTGTTTGAAGAGGTGCAGAGGCCCGGCACCCCACTCTACAACATCAAGGCGTACCTTCCAGTGGTCGAGTCATTTGGTTTCTCCAGCACCCTGAGAGCTGCGACCTCCGGGCAGGCTTTCCCGCAGTGTGTGTTTGACCACTGGGACATGATGGCATCCGACCCGCTGGAGCCCGGGAGCCAGGCATCAACACTTGTGGCCAACATCCGCAAGAGGAAAGGGTTGAAGGAGCAGATGACGCCACTGTCCGACTTCGAGGACAAGCTGTAAGCCCCCCTGCCCCTTGGGGGAGAAAAGCCAGCTGGTATAGTAGTTTCAGTCTAGTTGTTAGCTTCACTTGGTGGTTGCTTTGCAGTGCTGCCAGTGTTAAGCTACACATCTATTTTTGTTTCCATCTCTTTTGGCTGTTTGCTTGGCACTATATGATTTTGAAATAAATTCTTATTAGATTGTCTGATACACCTCAGCTCGTAGTAGTTTCACTGGTTTATTTTGGCTGTATGCGTCGTGTACCTACCGCATTCTCCTTATCAAATGCATGCGTCGGTTGGCCATGTCTATAATATTTTAGTTAAGCAATGGTATTTCCTATGATGTCACTATGTTCGAAGTCAAAAAAAGAAAATATCTACAACCGTTCTATAATGTCTACTGCCCCCATTGCATATGTTGTCATTGCAATCTCAATGAATGTCCTTTACCAAATGGACATTGTCCATTATGTTCAAAGTCTTGTTTATCTATAGAAGAAAAAACAATGCCAGTAATATTTAATGTCATTGTAATCAACAAAAGCCAGATTAAGAATATGAAACCCTAAAAATCAACTTGTCATTTAAAAAAACTTTGTAGATTACGGAGTACTCTCTCCGTTCGGAAATATTCTTCCCGTGTTGACTTGGCACGCTTATTAAGGAATAATAAAAAAAATGCAAAATTTTCAAAAATACACATACTATAAACTTTTAAATCTCCTTTTATTATTAAAAAAGTAATAAAAAAATATATTAGTGATAAAATAGAAAGGTATTATTGAAATTTATCCTTAAAAAGTACTCCCCCCGTTCCAGAGTATTTGTTCACTTTCATTTTTACACACCATCCAATACACTTCTTTAATCTATTTTATCTTATAATTTGTATATTAAAAAATTATAGAAATTATATATTAATAATCTATATGTTAAGACAAATCAAACAAGATCACACATGACTATATTTAGGCTTACACATAAAGAGAATTTGATAAGTCAAAGTGCTTAGATGAACAATTCCAAAAGTCAAAAGTGGACAAAAACTGGGAGACAGAGGGAGTATACTAAAAAAGGAAATGAGAAGAATATTTCTGGACGGACCAAAAAGGAAAATGGGAAGAATATTTCCGGACTGAGAGAGTATTACATAAGACTATAAGAGAACCAAAAGTTGAAAAAAGAAAGAAGTTTGTAAACCAAATCGGTAAAGAAAAATAGATCAAAATAAATATGATGGAATTTATTTTTTTTATTTAGAAATATATATATTATATTTATTTCGGTTAAAAAATTTGGGTTACACTTCTTGGTGTACCCCTAGCATGCTTTTAAATTTTAGTATAAAGGCATAAAGCTAGAGTAAACCTAACATTTGGGGTTACCATGATTCTATGTTTTGCGAATTTGCGTCGCAGGAACATGAATAATAATTGTTGGTTACCTATAGACAATAACTATTTTCGTCCTTCAAAACTCTTCACATTTTGACTTTTTTGTTCAGTTAGTGACACTAGTTAGTGACACTCTGAGACCATAAATTAAACATAATTTAAATAATTAAATGTTATAAAAATTTGATATATCAAAACTATATTTTAAGATGAATCTAGATATTTAATTTATACGGAGTATTATAATTTAAAATAGTTTTCTCATAAGTTATAGTTAAAAAAATTATGCCATCTGACTAAAACAAGTCAAAAGAATTTTCAGGAACGAGAGAGTATTGTTTGTGCATCACTTCTAGGGTTGTAAAACGAACGAATAATTTTGATTTGATTTGATTCGTATTCGAAATCTACGATTCATATTCGGAAAAATGAATTCGAATAAGAATATAAATATTTATTAGAATTTGAAAGAAAACGAATGTTTATGTATTCTATTAGATATGTTAACGAATATATTCGAATTTTAATACCCTACAAAAAATTATACCCAATTACCTACTTCATAATAAATACAGAACATAATATACAAGTTACTCCATAATAAATATTGAGCATAATATACAGGGGCAAAGTTTGCATGTACGCACATCCTTCCCACACCCTACTCTCGCGTGATCTACTTCTTCCGTCCCTAAAAGATATCCACAGTTTCACCTTTTTTGTTAGACTGTGGCACCCTTTGAATGCAAATTAAACATAGTTTAAAATAATTAAATATTATAAAAATTTGATATTTGAAAACTCTATTTTAAAATAAACCCAATTTTACTAAAATTTACATTAAAATTAAATATGTTTTTTCATAATTTGCGGTCAAAAGGTGCTATAGTTTCACAAAATAAGTCAAACTGTGACAATATTTTAGGGACGGGGGAACTATTTAACTAGGTTGTTGTTATTTTGGACATGCCATTTTTAGTACAAAGTACTCCTTGTGTTAACTAAAACATTTTCTCTTTTATTTTTTTCTTTCACCAAAACACTTTCTCTTTCATTACTAACTCTTACCCTACATATTGCATTATACTTTTTCATTGATAATCTACCTATCACATTTTTCTTTTACACATCAAATTAAGAACAAAGTTAGAAAGTTAATTACAAATATACACTTTATTTCTCTCATTAGTCGAAATAGAAAGAGTTTTGCTGAATGGATGGTGTATATGGTTAATTTGTGAGGTAATAATTTTGGAAGCTATAAAACATAAAAAAACTCAAAACTTGTATGAGTATTTTATAACAAAATATGAATACAAACCGAATATTTGAATTTAATACTCCTTCCGTCGTATAATGTTCTTCTTGTTTCTGTTTATGAGGTTTAACCGACTTTATTTTCAATTCAATTTATTTGATTGTAGGTGTAAAATTAAAAAATAAAATTTATATATTTGAAAACTACATCAAAAGTTCTACAAAATAAGTGGTGACAAGACTATATTATTTTATCAAATACCTAATGAAAATAGGTAAAGAAATTGATTAAAGTTTAACCGTGTGAAAAGCAACTAAGAAAAACATTTTAGGATGGAGGGAGTATCAAATCGAATATGAATAGTAATAACTATTTAGATTTAAAACAAATATGAATAATAATAACATTTTTCAAATACGAATAAAATTTCATATGAGTGTATGATACTTTTTCTTGTGGGTCCATGATGTACCGAAATTGCCATCTGACTAATCAGAGTAAACTAGGGGTGTGCACAATTTGGTAAACCGACCGAACCGAATCGAAACCAAAAATTTGGTACGTACCGAAACCGAACCAAATAATTCGATTCAGTATTCGATTCTCATATTTTGAAAAAAACGATTTTTGGTTCGGTAGAAAATTTGGAATCGGTATTTTGGTATAAACCGAGTACCGAAATTATTTAATACTTATGTACTTCCTCTGTCCCATTTTAAATTGCTTGTTTGCCTTTTTTCTCCGTCCCAAAATAAGTTACCTGTTACTTGTTATCGTAAACTTTTAAGTGTAAAATACCTAAACTACTCCTAAAATAAGTCACTCTTCTCCACCTTATCTTCTCATTCATCGTCATGCCTTCTAAAAAGTAATGACAATTTTAGAAAATCAACTCTATTTTAATTTACCCATTTCTACTCAATCCAATACCATATATCTAACTCAATATTGAAATAATGAATATCCAGTCCACTAAGTTTAAGTTCTATTATTTGGAAATCATGAAAGCATCAAATTAATAATACTGGTAAATGTTTTTTTTTTTTGGAATGGACAATTGTGTTAATTGTATCAACTATTTTGTTTATTTTATGTAATGGTTCTAATTGTGCTGTGTTATTTTAACTTTGGAGTGTGTAATGAACTTATATGTAATGAATTGTGCTTTGTTATTTTCAATTTGGAGAATGTAATAGATTTTCTAAAGTTCAAATTTTGGTTTATGTTTGGTTTTTGGTAAAACCAATTTAATTTGATTTTTACCGAACCGAACCAGTTGATTTCGGTTCGGTATTTGGTAATTTGTACAAAAAAAAGTAAATTACTGAAATTTTGGTTTATGGAATTTTCAGTTCTGTTCGGCTTTACCTGAAAACTGTAAAAACAAGAACGATAAAAAAAAGATGTTCATTTTGTTGAAAACAGAAATTCATTTCCTTGGAGGAAGAAATGGCCTTCTTTGTAACACTTCGTTGCCCTTCTTCTCTGTATCATTTCCCCCCGTCAAAGGTCTCTGCAACTTCTACATCTTCATCAAAGATCTCTACACCATCTTTCGCCTCCTCCCTGTCAAGTATCAATCGCCGGAAACCGTCATCTATCCGATCGGCTTCGCTCCGAGGTAAATTTTCCGGCAAATTATATCACTCGTCTCCCAAATCTAACCTCTCAGTTTCAAACCCCTTTAATTTTATTTGTATATATATATATATATATATATATATATATATATATATATATATATATATATATATATATATATATATATATATATATATAGATTTTGGTTCTGGTAAGAATGCGATCTTAGGAGAGAAATGAGAATGAATCTGGTGCTTTAGATTGTACGATCTAAGGGTCAGGATTGCATCAAAATTAGATGCAACAAAATGGTTGGAAAATGCATCACGACGAAATGCATCATAATCCTTTGAAAATGCACAATCTCAAAACCTGAGCGCAAGATGCAATCTGAGCCGCACGATGCATCAGATCTAACGGCTAGATTTCATTCTCATTTCTCTCCACAAGATGCATTCTCACAGGAACCAGCCCCTATATATATATATATATATAATTAAATATTAACAGCTCGAATCCTTATTCCAGATCATTTGAATTCAATTTTTCCTTATTTAGTTGAAAGGAATTAGTACCACAGCCCCAGCTTGGAGTTTCTATAAAGTCTAATTTAATTTGTTCATTTGATGAGATTCCGGATTCCTTTGTCTGGTTTTATTTGTTGAAATTATATGTTTGCAGTGTTACAGATAATGGATGGAAATGACCTTATCGTGTAGAATAAGGTCTCACTTACCAAACTTACACTGCCGCTATAGCATTTTGTGCCCGATTCTATATACTTAAACAACAACCCGTTAGAAACCCACCACGAGAGTAGGGTGTGGGGAGGGTGTGTGTACAGAAACCTTACCCTTTCTCGAACTAGAGGTAGTGTGCCCAATTCTATATTTGGAACTTATGTCTAAGTTAGAAAGGAATGAGAGGAAAGAAGTAATTCAATCGAGGTGAAGGGGGATAATTATGGGAGAATTATCTCCTCTGACGTCTATGTATTGTTATGATTTAGATTTGATGTCTTAAAGAATCCGATCACAATATACCATTTTTATCGGATCAGCGAGAACTTACTAGCCCAAGCGTACAATATATAATACGTAGTAAAATAGCTAATAATGCACGTGTAAGTAAAGGTCCACACTCCACACGAAAGCAGAATGACCCAGATTAGTATTGTATGGCCTGAGCCGTATCAAATGCAAGAATACAGTAGTATTTGTGTGACTATTAACACGGTGGTTTCTTTCCATGTTTTAGATCCACCATCATCTGGAGAATTTCAGCCCGCGATATCCTTGACAGACAATGCTCTAAAATGCCTGGATAAGATGAGAGCCGAGCAGAAAAAGGATTTGTGCCTTAGAATTGGTGTCAAACAAGGAGGATGCTCTGGTATGTCTTATACAATGGAGTTTGAGAACAGAGAGAATGCTAGAGCAGATGATACTATCATCGAGTACAATGGCTTTGTCATCGGTATGTTTGTACCTAGGCAATTTCACATCTCTTTTTTAGCATGCTAGTATGGTAGAAGGGTGGGTCCAACTCAACTTGTATCTGAGAAGCCTTGGGTTCAAATTGGTCTTCCTGGCAAAATTATACTTCATCCATCCGGATTTAGTTTTCCACTTCCTAAATAATTTCATGTTTGTTAAATGAGTTTAAAATGTCAAATAAGTCTTCAAATGGGGTTTGTCACTCATTCATGCCAAGAGCTCACAATTCATCATAATTTCCTCATGGAAGGTGGACAACTAATTCCGGACATACAAAAACAAGAAACTGGGCAACTAAATTCAGACGGAGGGAGTGGATTGTAATTTGTAATAAATGGATGGGTCCAAATAGAAGTCAACACTCTCGCGTTTCTATCTATGTGTCTTGGTTGATCAATTTTTCTTTGCAGTTTGTGATCCAAAAAGCCTACTCTTCCTCTTCGGGATGCAACTAGACTACAGTGATGCACTAATGGGTGGAGGGTTCTCCTTCAAGAACCCCAATGCTACACACACATGTGGTTGTGGCAAATCTTTCGCTGCTGAAATGTGATAATTATATGCTCACTAATATCACTAGCTCTCTCTCTCTCTCTCTCTCTCTCTGTGTGTGTGTGTAATATGTGACACTTCTCTGTTTTAAATTCAGTTACTCCATGCCCTCAAAAACAAAGAGTTACTCCATATTACTTACTCCCTACAAACTTATTTAAAACATTTGTAAAATTTACCCTGTCCCAAAATATTGATTAATTTTTCTATTTCGGGATGTCGCAAATGATTGTCCACATCCAAAAATAGTAAAATTGGAGAAGTATAGTGTTGTCATCATGTTGAGCAATAGAGTATATGAATATTTTAGTATTCTTACTCAATTTTAATTTTGGTCATATTTTTCTTATTTTTTTTATAATATATTCTCTGTCTATATATACCTTAATATGTTAAAAGAATTACGCATTACACACATATCTGTGTGTCTACATACCTTTTGTGTCTAAATTTAAAGTGCTTGCTGTTTAGTACAATATTTGGTTCAGATTATATTCAATTTAATTTATTTAAAAAAATGTTGTGAAATCAAAAGTTATAATAATCAAGAGGTGGCATAGATTATATTATTTTATTAAATAAATAAAAAACTGGTTGAAAGAATTTGGTTAAAGTTAAACTGTATGAATAAAAAATAAATACGAGTAATTTAAATTGTGACGGATAAATTATTAAATATAATTTTAATTTTCATGTATGTTGAACAATAATTTAAGGCATGGGCAGATATATGATATTAATTATTCTTTGATTAAAAATGGACAATAAATAAATTGTGGCATTATTACTCTGTATATTATTGTAACAAATGCTTATGTAAAAAAGAGATATACTTAGAGATTTTTACTTTTAAAATTGAAACAATTTCACTATTTTTGGAATTTGACCATTTTTCTTAAATTTCATGTAAAATTTAAATGAGTAAATTATTTTTTTTTTCAAAAAAATTAGAAAATCGTTTGACAAGAAATGCCGTTCATCCATGACGCAGCCCCAAAATGCCCAAAGCATTTCGCCTGACGCCCGCCTGTGCCTAACCGGAGGAGAAATCCCAGACTGGATAAGAGAGATTTTCAAATCAAACCAATCCTCAAGAACAAAAAAAGCATAGGGTAATACATTGATTGTTGAGGAACACCAGAAGCTGAGGCATTTTAGTCGAGTTTTATTTTAATCTCACTCCGTATTACTCCATAATTCCATCTTTTTCAGCTTTGGGTTTTCGATTTTCATCAAGAATGTGTTCTTCATCCATCTCCAGATGTCTCGTCTATCTTCATCTAACCCTAAATCGAAGCCCTAGTTCCTCCTTCCCTATTTTCCCAAGCTCTCTAAAACCATTCTCCCTGAACCCAGTCTCTAAAACCCCAAGAATCGTCCTCATCCGACCCCACCTTCACCAGTCAAAATCTGCCCCAGAGAACTGTTCCTTTACTCCCCAGAAGATGATTTCCAGGCCTCTCGGGGAGAAATTGGTGATTTTGATTTTCGGGTCTTTCGTTTTCTTCTGCAGTTGCTTAAAGGGTAGGGCAGCAATGGCCCGGCCGGTTCAAGAAACCAGTTGGGCTGAGGAGAAAGCTCAGGTCGGTGAAACGGATGAGGTACGTTTGTATTTGAAGCTGCTGGAGAAGGACCCGGGAAATATTGAGTCTTTGAAGATGATTGTGAATGCAATGATGAAGAGAGGGAGGACGAAGGAGGCCGTTCAGTATGTGGAGAGGCTGATTGAGGTCCAGCCGGGAGAAGTTGAGTGGAGATTGTTGCAGGCTCTGTGCTATGAGATGATGGGGCAGCTGAGCAAGGCCAGGAGATTGTTCAAGCAAGTGTTGAAGCAAAAACCTTTATCACTTAGAGCATTGCACGTACGTGTCCTGCATTTGCACAAACAGTTTGTGGATAAGCAAAATGTTTCATGAGCTTGAGCTTCATTTCTATTTCCATTGTCTGTTGAAGATGTTTTTCTGAAAAGACAATATCTAGTTCTTTTTTTGCCAAATCTTTCCATTGTGGTGTAGGGTCTAGCAATGGTTATGCACAAGAACCATGAGGGCCCTGCTGTATTCGAGATGTTGAATGGCGCTCTTGAAGTTGCCCGTCGCGAAAAAAGAGTCAATGAAGAGAGAAATATAAAGATATTGATTGCGCAGATGCATGTGGTTAAGGTAATACAACGATCATAGAATGTCGTAAGAAGATTTTTATATTTGGTTCTTTTTCTGGGTTCTGTTTTGATGATTATGTTTCAGGGTGAGCTAGAGGAGGCTCTGGAAATGTTTCAAAATCTTGTTCAAGAGAACCCAAAAGATTTTCGCCCCTATCTCTGCCAGGTAAACGAACTGCCAATTGCCTTTTCTGGTTCTCTATATTGGGTTCAATTGTGCCACTATTCTAGATAAATAAGTGTTTAAGTAAGAAGAAGGGCATGAAAATGGCAATAATGGTGTGAAGTCTTATCAGGGAATTGTTTACAGTCTCCTGGGCAAGAAGAAGGAAGCAGAGGATTGTTTCGAGACATACCACAATCTGATGCCAAAAGAATTTCCAGGGAGAGGGTTCCTTGAGGATGTTATGTTGGCTGCGAAAACCCAACCTAAGGAACGACTCGGGAAAGATTTCGCAGACTGATGGTTCATAAGTCCCAACATCACTTGTTTCAGTTTCTTAGGCAGAAAAATATGGCTTCATTTTTCAAGCTATAAATGGGTACATGACTCAGATGCATTCTTGTTTTTTTTATTTTACCTCAGCAAGTACTTCTCATTTGATCATTTATTTGCTAATTTGTATGTATAGTTTTTGAACCTCACTTATATTGATCTGTTGAAGAAAACTGGGCAAAGTGTTACAATTCTGTTGTGGACAGGTTCTCTAGGCTGTGCTTGCTACTCCTCAATGAGGAAGAACATACTCTATCCTAAAAAAATGCACTTAAGCCTTATCACTATCAATTACCATAAGGGCCCGTTTGGTATACGGAATTGATGGAATTGGAATTGAATTGGAATTGAAATTCCATGAGATTCAATTCCATAGAATTGAATTCTGCCAATTTCAATTCATTTTTTGCACTATCAATTCCAAATCCACATAATTTTTGTGCTACCAAACACCAGAATTGGAATTGAAGTCCTCAATTCCAATTTCATAGTTTGAATTCCGTGTACCAAACGGGGCCTAAGTGAAATTTGCACTGAATAGGACTAAAACACACGTCATTTCCCAATGTAGGACTTAAATTTTTTTTATTCTCTAAATAGGACTTAATAATGATTAGTGAGAAGAATAATATCCAAGTGATGCAGGACATTTAGTTGAATAATGACTAATAGATAATGACCAATGGTCCTACATTGAGAAATAACATATTAAGAAAGTTATTATGTTTTAGTCCTATTTAGGTAAATTACCCTTACCATAAGTTTCAATTTGTTACTAAAGCGGGAAACTTGGTACAAAACTTTAAGTGTATGTTTCATTTCTTCAATCCCAAGTCATCATAAATGCACCTGAACACCTCTTGAAGTCCATATTACATCTGTCCCGGATGATCTTACTAAAGTTGTGTTCAGATAATTATATATAGTCCTCTTGGCTCGGTAACATGGCGGACAGGGTTCAACCTCACTGTGTCAAACAAAATATGTCGACACTAATCAACGAAAATATGCTGACATATTTTGGATGTGTTGATCTAAGTATAGCGACGACTGCGTTTAGACCCTAATATGTCGAAATACATCAACTCAAAATTTTCGAAATGTGTCGACCTAACCATGTCGACATGTGTTGATCTCATTGAAGCTATGTATACATAAACAAATATTATTGCCTTCTGGACTTGACCTCGTGGAAGTTGTGCATATTATATAATCCCAAGAGTAACTATTACTGTATGTAAATGTGTACTTACGTAAAATGCACGTTTCATAGACGAGCGATGACAAACGAAACCCAATGAAGAAACTAAAGTCATGTTGCAAGCGAATGACAATATAGGTGACACTAATGAACAATGTAAGGCGAGACAAAAACCTGATAAAGCAAGTAATGCTCATATCAGAAAACAATGAAAAAAGGCGTGCCACTGCAACACGCTCATAATGATAATAACAAAAAGTGTAACACCACAATTGTCTTATAACGATGACCCAATAATAATAATAATAATAATGCAAGTATGAGAGTAATTTCATTTTTAAAGAAAAAACAAGTAGAGAAACCAATAAAGTAGCCTTCTTTTTCTTTTTTTTCTTTTTAGATAAAAAATGACAAGAGAAGCACACGGGCTAGCATTGGAGTAGTACTTCGTTAGATATGGGGAGTACTTAGAATCACTTTTTGCACAGTCAATCCCCAAAGCAGGTTCGCCGTTGATGTTCCTTCGTTCTGGTATAATTCCTGCAGTAAAAAAAGGCGGGGAAGGAAGGAAGGAATTGAAGAAAGGAAGTAGTTAGGGTAAAACCGCAATGGATGGGGAGTCTAGGGTTTCTGTCAACGCCGATGATGCGAAACCCTCCTACTGGATTGACGCTTGCGAGGACTTTCCCTCCGATCATCTGCTTCCCCAATTCGTCAATTCCGACTCCCCTCCCACCCCCGCCACTGTTGTCTCCCAGTTCACCCGCGGAATTGATCGTATTCTGGATGGAATCACCCAGGACCGCTGCTCCGACCAGTCTCCGGCCGACTGCGAGAATCATGGCCCCGCAGTGAAATTCGTATCTTCTGATCCCAAGTTCTGTAATGGACGACGCCTGCATCACGGGAGCTCGGTGGTAGATGATAATGGTGGATGTGGGAAAAGGGCGTGCCACGGTAGAGACGAGAGTGAGGGAAGCAGAACTCTCGGGAGGAAAAGGCGTCGCGAGTTTGGTGAGGTTGACAGGAGAGACAGGGATCAGATTAAGAGAAGAGAAGGAAAAGGTTGTTTCGGGAGGCAGAGAGATTGGAGCGATGGAAGAGGGTATTGGGAGCGGGACAGGGAGAGGAATGAAATGGTTTTCAGGACGGGTTCATGGGAGGCTGACCGGAACGGAGAAGGGCCGGCCCCCTCTGGCAGAAGTCTTGAAAGGAATGGTGGAGGGCAGGGGATGAAACCTGAGAAACCCAAGGAACCATCCCCTGAAGAACAGGCCCGCAAATACCAGTTGGATGTTCTTGAACAGGCAAAGCAGAGAAATACCATTGCCTTTCTTGAAACAGGGGCTGGGAAAACACTCATCGCCATCCTTCTTATGAGGAGTCTTTACTCTGATTTGAAAAAGAAGAACAAGAAGATGCTTGCTGTATTTTTGGTTCCTAAGGTTCCACTGGTTTACCAGGTGACCTCATTTTATTTTTTTTTCAAGATTTTAAATACTCCCTCCATCCGCATTCAGTTTCACACTTTCTTGTTTTTGTTTGTTCATAACTACTTGTCTGCCTTTCATATTCAATAAGGAAATTATGATGAGTTTTCTAAAATATCATAGAGAGAGGGTATGAGCATTGTAAACATGAATTAGTGACACTCATTTGAAGGATTTATTTGACATTTTAAATTCATTTCTTAAAAACGAGATTTATTAGAAATTGGACAACTAAATCCGGATACATAATTTTCTATTTGTATGATGTGGAAAAGGGGTTTCAACTTTTTTTTTAATATAAAAAACAAATTGAATGCAGCAAGCAGAAGTCATTCGTCGGCAAACTGGCTATCAAGTAGGGCATTACTGTGGTGAGATGGGCCAAGATTTTTGGGATGCTCGACGGTGGCAGCGCGAGTTTGAGTCCAAACAGGTGGATTAAGATTTCAACCTCAAATCTATGCTTAGCTGTACCGCATCTGCATGGGTCGCCTACAGTCATTGTTTACACGGCAACAACTCTAGAAGAAGAAATAAATGAACACTATAACGTTTTGTTGAAGTTTGTAGGTTTTGCACTCCTGATTAATAATTATATTACAGTACCACTTATTTGCCCCTTTTTCTATGTCACCCTTTCATTCCAGGTTTTGGTAATGACAGCTCAAATTTTGTTGAACATCTTGAGGCATAGTATAATAAAAATGGAATTTATTAATCTCCTTGTTCTGGATGAATGCCATCATGCTGTGAAGAAGCATCCATACTCTTTAGTAATGTCCGAGTTCTATCACACTACACCAAAGGGGAAAAGACCATCAGTTTTTGGGATGACTGCTTCTCCTGTTAACTTAAAGGGTATTCCGATATTATTTCTGTGTGTACCTAGGATTGTTTTATATATTGAATTCCTCATTGATGCCATTTTTCTTTACATGATTCTTTTAAGGTTTGTGTTTATACGTGCATTGGTGCGTCCCTCTTAGTTCCGTCTAACAAGTTGTATCTTGTTTCTGCATCCTAACTAAAGTTCGTCAGTATAGTGGATTAATGTTTGTGAGTGTTTTGTATCATTTGCTATAGTTTATCAATGAGGCCGTCTAGAAGATTTTGGTATGTGCTGAATAGTTACACAGGATGCTATCACATCCGATAGCTCTTTGCTTCCTGAATTAATTTCAGTAAGTTGGAAAGCCACATATTACAGGGAGTTTTGCGCTCGTGCAGGTGTTTCTAGCCAAGTGGACTGTGCTATTAAGATTCGTAATCTAGAGAGTAAACTGGATTCTGTTGTTTGCACTGTAAAAGACCGCAAGGAACTAGAGAAGCATGTACCAATGCCATCCGAAACTGTAGTGGAGTATGACAAAGCTGCTACTCTATGGTCTCTTCATGATCAAATTAAACAAATGGAAGGGGCAGTTGAATCAGCTGCCCAATCAAGTTCAAGAAGAAGCAAATGGCAATTTATGGGTGCTCGAGATGCTGGAGTTAAGGAAGAGTTGCGCCTAGTCTATGGTGTGTCTGAAAGAACTGAAAGTGACGGTGCTGCTAATTTAATTCAAAAGTTGAGAGCTATAAATTATGCACTTGGCGAACTAGGACAATGGTGTGCCTTTAAGGTGCGATAATATATTTCAAAATCTCTTTCATCTTATTTATGAACACTTAGAGTATAAAACCTTTTTTGGGTCGGTTCAGTTGATTCCTTGACATAGCATCGCTCAATTATCAACAATCTCATGTTAACTTATGCACGAGCTTTTGTTGTAGCCACGCTTCAAGCCCAAAGGGCTTTCGCGTGAGGGTGCGTATAAGAGTATAAAAACTTTATGGTCCTCTAAATACTTTAACTTTTGGTTGAGTTGGTTCCTCGACACGAACAAACAAAATTGTGATTAATTTCCTTTTCAATTGCAGGTTGCTCATTCTTTTCTAACAGCTTTACAAAGTGATGAGAGGCCAAACTTCCAACTTGATGTTAAGTTTCAAGAATCTCATCTCAGTAAAGTTGTCTCTCTTTTGCAATGTAAGCTGAGTGAGGGAGCTGTTGCAGAAACTAAAGGCGTTATGGATGTGGATATTTGCAAGACTCTAAAATGTAACATGCCTGATGAGATAGAGGAGGGAGAGCTTCTTGATAGTCATGGTGAGAACCTTTAGGTGCAATTTCTTTTTGATCTTCCATATTTTGTAGCCTTTATAGTTTGTATGCTAGCATGTATTATTGGTTTCCTTGTTTTCCGCTTGAGCTTGAAGGACACAACAAAGACACAACAATAACAACACCGTTGGATCCCACAAGAGTCGGGACTGGAGAGGGTGTGTGTACGCAAACACAGGCCTTGCCCCTACTTGTAAGTAGGGAGGCTGTTTCCAGGAGACCCCTAGCTCAAGAAGATAAAATAATACTCCCTCCGTCCCAAAAACTCCTTCCACTTTCTTTTTTTACTTGTCCCACAAAATCATTTCCATTTCTATTAAAAAAACACTTTTACCCCTACTAATTCTTAACCTACTTATCACATCATGCTTTTTTACTAATAATTATACATCACATCCTACTTTTATCCATCACATCAAGGGTACTTTTGGAAAGTTAACACAAAAATATCGCTCTCTTAAATTTTTTAAAAGTCAAAACGGGAGCATCTTTTTGGGACGGAGGAAGTAAAAGATAAGAAAAGGTTATAAAAGTAATAAAAGATATAAAGTAATAAAAGCTCACAGGAAATACATACTAAAGTAGAGAAAGCACAGATAAAGCCCAAAGCACACAGAGGCAAAGAACAACCTAATGTTAACGAAGGAAAAGCACTGCAGATAGAGAGCACCAGGCATATAAGGCATACAAAGCACACAAGTCCTAAAAACTACCACCTTATCATCTCCTTCCAATTCTTCTTAGGTCTACCTCTTCCCCTACTCCCACCCACCAACGTAAGAACATGCCCAAACCACCTCAACCTAGCTTCCTTCAACTTATCTTGCACATGTGCCATGCCTACCCATCCTTAGATAACCTCGTTCAGAATCATATCCGACCTTGTCAGCCCACGCATCCACCGTATCATTCTCATCTCCGCAGAATGCAGTCGACAAACGTGGGTTTTCACCCTATCTCATTTCATCAATGCACATTGAAGTTGCAAAGTCAGTGTAATGAGTATTATTATACTCTAGAAACCTACTTGAAGGTGAACAATATCTACTAGACTTGAATGGCATAGCTTGGAAAGCTGAGTTTGGAATAGATATTTGATGATTGTCTCATTTGATTAGCTAAGCGTCTTTAAAGGAAATAGTTGATGTGCAATTAATAGAGTCACTAGCATGACTTGTTAAGGAAATAGTTGAGATTGTACTTAATTCTGTTTTATAGTTATGTCTGGTGGAGAGCATGTTGATGCTATAATTGGCGCTGCTGTTGCTGATGGAAAAGTGACACCAAAGGTTCAATCGTTAATCAAGGTTCTTCTCAACTATCAGCGCACGGACGATTTCCGCGCAATTATATTTGTTGAACGTGTAGTTGCTGCTTTGGTTCTCCCAAAGGTTGACAAACTTGTTTTTTACGTTATCAAGGTGGAACTCATTGTCATACTATGAATGTAAGAAAGTAAAATCTAACAATCGTGCAGGTATTTGCAGAGCTACCTTCACTAAGTTTTGTAAAGTCAGCGAGCTTGATTGGCCACAACAATAGCCAAGATATGCGGACGAGCCAAATGCATGAAACAATTGCCAAATTCCGTGATGGCCGTGTATGTCTAAATTCTAAATCATAAGATATTTCAGTTCTTATCGTTTAAATAATGTGTTTGAAGTGAACTGAAATTTTGATGCATGGTGATAATATTTGCTTGAAACATACGATACTATGAAAATAATAGCGACATTGTCTATTAATTCATTACGAAGTGCCTGTATTTAAACACAAAGCTAGGGTTGCACACTTGGACAAAAATGATAGAAATCTGAGCTAAGGTTCATTAGCTTATTATGATTAGTCAACAAAGGGAATTTGTCATAATGTTTTCTAATTGATATGTTTAGTTGACAAAGCTCGTAGTGATGTAACTGTCAATGATCTTTTCTCTGACAAAATGGAAATCAACTTCTAATGTTAGTGCTCTCACTGTAATACTATATACTGCATTAGAAGCAATGCATGGTGTCGCTTGGTTTTCCACTTTTCCATTATCTCATACTTGATTCTGCATGCTTGCTAGGTTAATTTGTTAGTTGCCACTAGTGTTGCCGAGGAAGGCCTTGATATACCACAATGCAATGTTGTCATCCGCTTTGATCTTGCAAAAACTGTTCTGGCCTATATTCAATCTAGAGGTCGTGCTAGAAAGAAATGTTCTGATTATATTTTGATGGTTGAAAGGTACACTTGTTTGTGTTTTTAGTCTGTTTTTTAAACACGTGTAACCAGGATTCTGAAATCATCTTAATCTTATATTTTTTGAAGAGGAAATTTGTCGCATGAAGCATTTCTAAGGAATTCTAGAAACAGTGAAGAGACAGTGCGGAAGGAAGCCATTGAGAGGACTGACATTAGCCACCTCAAAGGAACCTCCAATTTAGTTTCCAAGGAGGCATTGCCTGATACGTTTTACCAGGTGGCGTCCACTGGTGCTATTGTGAGCTTGAACTCTGCAGTTGGACTCATCCACTTTTACTGCTCCCAATTACCCACTGACAGGTGTAGTTTCTTTTCATAGCAGAAGTTAATATGCTTTGTCCTGCACTCCTGCTTATGGGAGAATCTTATAAATTGAATGAGAAATTTTTTTTGATTTTTACTGGACTTGGATTTATATTAAGCTCTCTTGTTGTAGGTATTCCATACTTCATCCTGAGTTTATAATGGAGCGTCTTGAGAAGCCAGGAGGGCCTTCAGAATACTTATGCAGGCTTCAGCTCCCCTGCAATGCACCATTTGATAGACTGGAAGGTCCTATATGTAGCTCCACACATCTTGCACAACAGGTGCTATTATTGCTGCTTAATTTTATTTATCAAGTGCCATCTACACGAGAGCAATCATTAAATACTTTTTTTATATTTGAAGGGGAGATTATTCATTAAATACTTACTATGCCATGTTTAGGCAGTTTGTTTGGCTGCTTGCAAAAAGCTTCATGAGATGGGGGCCTTGACTGACATGCTCTTGCCAGACAAGGGAAGTGGAACAGAACCAGATAACGTTGAGGACAATGGTGAAGGAGATTCTCTTCCAGGAACAGCTAGGCATAGGGAATTTTATCCTGAAGGCGTTGCTAACACACTCCGGGTTAGTTACACTTTTTCCTATTTTGGCTCTTTGATTTTCCAAAATAATCCATTGATAATTAGCTTTAAATTTTCCCTCCAAAGTCCTAAAGGGCCTCAACTTGCAGCCTGCTCTTTTCCGGCTCAATGACAATTTGCTTTTCCAGTGCTTTGCCATTTTCTTAGTATAAAGAATTTTAAAGATAGGTTTATTTTGATGGTAAGAAATGCCTCTAGATGGTTTATGTTTACAGAGGAAGCTATTGTAATTAATGAGCACCATGGAAATCTGACCGTCTGCAAGTTGGTAGCACCATCCTCCCCAGTTTATATATGAATAAATTCACTGCTTACCATATTATGAAGTATTTGATAAAAATGTATTAGAGTACTCCCTTCATCCCAAAATGATCTTCCACTTTTCTTTTTTAGACATCCCAAAATGATCTTCTCATTCCTTTTTAAGGAAAGAAGGGTGTCGTTCATATTATCTCTCTCTCTCTCTCTCTCTCTGCATATCATTCAATCACCCAATTTCATTTTTCTTAAACACTGCCATTTTCACATTAGAAGATGAATTTGAAATGGAGGGAGTACTACTTATTGTAATTGGAAAATGCCAAACACTCTGTAATTTATTCTTTATCAACTTTTTTTCTGTTGGATTATGTTTTGCACTTTCCATCTCTGCTAGATTAAGTTCTTTTTTCCTTGCAAAGAGGCCATTGACACACAGTTACACACCCACCTACTTGTTAAGGAAATCGATGGGAAGAATTCTACTCCCTCGGTCCCAAAAAAGGCCTTAATTGTTTGACTTCACGGAGTTTAAGATTGCAGTTGAAAATTAAAAAGTGGATAGTTTAAATTTAATTAGAGAAAACAGAAAGATTGCGAACAACATATTTCATTCCTAATTAAGAAAAAGGAGAAGTGTGAATTTTTAGGGACCAGTGGGACCGCCAAAAAGAAAGTGTGAAGTTTATTATGATGACACAGACATTTTGTATTTCATCACCCTTTTAGTTTTGGTGTTAGTCCTAGTGTTGATAAAATATAAAGCTCACTCCTAAATTGACATTTCCTTTGCAGGGAGAGTGGATTTTATCAGGGAAGGATCATTCCAACAGCTCAAAGTTCTTCCATCTGTGTATGTATGCTGTAAAATGTGTAAATGTTGGTTCCTCAAAAGATCCATTCTTAACTCAAGCATCAGAGTTTGCTGTGCTGTTTGCCAATGAGCTGGATGCAGAGGTTTTGTTTTTCCTCTTTTGCATCTTATTCCCAATCTAGTGGTGACTGCCTCCACATGTTATGTTTTTAATTTCTCCTGTTATTTGACTTCTTGGCTTACAGGTATTATCGATGTCTATTGATTTATTTATTGCTCGTACTGTGATAACAAAAGCATCTCTGATCTTCTTAGGAACAGTAAAAGTTACAGAGGCTCAGGTTGTTAAAAGCTCTTTTTGTTGTTGAAAAAGCACTTTGTGCCTTACAATTATCAATTAGCCACTACTTGATTCTTGAATATTTATGTATTTGATTATCTTAAATAAATCTGTCAGCTGTCATCCCTGAAGAGCTTTCATGTGAGACTGATGAGCATTGTATTGGATGTTGATGTTGAGCCATCTACCACACCATGGGATGTTGCGAAGGCATATTTATTTGTTCCTATTTCTGGTTGTGAATCTGTAAATGGTATTGATTGGGATCTTGTTGAAAATATAAGTAAGACAGATGCATGGAGAAATCCACTGCAGAGAGCTCGACCGGATGTTTATCTAGGCACTAATGAGCGAGCACTTGGTGGAGATAGAAGAGAATATGGTTTCGGAAAGCTGCGCAATGGATTAGGTTTTGGGGTAAAATCACATCCTACTTATGGCATTAGAGGTGCTGTGGCACAATTTGATGTGGTGAAAGCATCTGGACTGGTTCCTAGCGGTCCTACCATTAAAATGTCCGATAATGTGAATTCGAGAGACAACCTCCTAGTGATGGTTGATTGTTGTTCAAGGTCAGAAGACCTTATTGGAAGGATTGTCACTGCTGCTCACTCTGGAAAAAGGTTTTATGTTGATTCCATTCGCAGTGAGATGACAGCTGAGAGTTCATTTCCAAGGAAAGAAGGGTATCTTGGTCATCTGGAGTACGGAACGTATGCTGATTACTATAAGCTAAAGTATGCATCTATTTTCTATTAATCTTCCCTTTGGTTGTATATAGTCTATGCAGTTTTCAATAGAAGCAAAAGTCAAGCAACACAAATACCATAAAAATACTCCCTATGTTGGGATCTAGTAGTCCACTTTCTTGTTTGTGTGTGTTCGGAATTAGTTGTCCACCTTCTTTGAATGAATGACAAACTTATTTGAAGGGCTTACTTAACGTTTTAAACTCATTTCCTAAAAAAGAGGTTATTCGAGGAATGGTGGGAGTGGTACCTATAGACGATAAGATGTGAGAAGCTAGGTTGAAGTGGTTTGGGCACGTAAGAAGGAGAAGTGCAAAGGCCCTAGTGGGGAGATGAGAGAGGCTTGTGTAGAGGTAGACCTAGGAAGAGTTGTAGGAAGGTGGTTAGGCATGATTTGCGACATGAGGATCTTATGGAGCATATGACCTTAGATAGGAACATCTAGGATCTAGGATTAGAGTTGTTGGATAGATCTTTGAGGTTGTAGCTTGTGCTTGTGGTACTCTTACTTTGCTCGTGCTACTGTGTTTACTTTGTGCTTCTGTGCTAGGAGTAAGGAGTCTATTGGAAGCAACCTCTCTACTTCCAAGTAGGGGTAACACACTCTCCAAACCCTAATTTTTTTGGGGTTCATTGTTCTTTATAAAAATGGGAATTTTTACGAAGTGACAACTAAATCTGGATGGTGGGAGTAATTATTATTTTCCCATTCTAACCGTTTTTTAATGCACTTCAGTTGTGTTCAAAGGATGTCCAAGACAGTGAAGGGCGATCCAAATATCTTTAAGTGGGACCATTTAGGGTTTGGATGATGATTACAAATTGTGACTCAAAACCAAGGATTTTGACTAAGATTTAAAAAATCATTACAAAAATCTGTTTGGATTCTGGTGATTTCAAGCCATTGTTGCCTTCTCTTGTCTCATCTTATTTAGAGAGAGACTACATCACTACAACCACGAGTTAAAATGATGGTCAATTAACAATAGATTTAAAATTTTGACTCAAAATCATAGTCTGATTTCAAATAAGGGCGTCATCCAAACAGGCCCTTAGTGCTTTTCTTTCTAGGGACACAACCGCTGTAGTAGCATTTTCCTACTTCAAGCAGCTTGGATGTCCTGATTGTGAAAATGCTACTTCCTTGAGTACAGTATATAGCCATATACTGCGTTAAGACTGTTTTGTTCTAATTGTATTACAGATATGGAGTCGACTTGTTATATAGGCACCAACCTCTACTAAGATGCCGTGGTGTATCATATTGCAAGAATCTTCTTTCCCCTCGGTTTGAGCATTCAGAAGGTATGCCTTTTTTGTGATTTTCTGTTTTGGCCAAGCTAGATTTCATGTGTGACTAAAAAAATCTGGATTTGATATTGAAGTGCAAGAAAGTGAATCCGAGGAAACTCTGGAGAAAACATATTTTGTTTTCTTACCTCCCGAGTTATGTTTGGTGCATCCACTCCCTGGAGCACTGGTTCGCGGGGCCCAAAGACTGCCCTCTGTAATGAGGAGAATTGAAAGCATGCTGCTTGCCGTGCAGCTTAAGCATATCATAAGCTTTCATGTCCCTGCCTCAAAGGTAAAATTGAACCTAGCCAATGTCGATCAACTAGAAAAAAATGTCATTTTTGTTGATCAGTGAGTGGTTAATGGAATTTGTTTACTCCATAGATCTTGGAAGCTTTGACTGCTGCTTCTTGCCAAGAGACATTCTGTTATGAAAGAGCAGAGCTTCTCGGGGATGCTTATTTGAAATGGGTTGTTAGTCGGTTTCTTTTTCTCGAGTATCCTCAAAAACATGAAGGTCAACTCACAAGAATGAGGCAGCAAATGGTCAGTAATATGATGCTATATCAATATGCATTGGCCAAGGGACTTCAGTCATATATCCAAGCAGACAGGTTCTCTCCATCAAGGTGGGCTGCACCTGGTGTTCCACCGGTGTTTGATGAGGACACGAGTGAAGGGGAATCAACCTTGTTTGATGATGAAAGTGTGGCTGACAAGTCTCATAATAGTGATGAATATGGAGATGAGGAGATGGAAGATGGTGAGCTCGAGAATGATTCAAGTTCATATCGTGTTCTCTCAAGCAAGACACTGGCCGACGTTGTGGAAGCACTTATTGGCGTGTATTATGTTGAAGGTGGAAAGCATGCAGCAAACCACTTTATGAAGTGGATTGGAGTTCAAATTGATTTTAATCCGAGTGACATAAAGAGGAGAGAGATTGTGCCAAGTAAAGTTCCTGAGGGCATACTGAGGAGTATTGACTTTGATGGACTTGAGGGCGCTTTAAACATTAAGTTTAATGAAAAGGGTTTACTGGTAGAAGCAATTACACATGCTTCACGCCCATCGTCTGGAGTCTCTTGTTACCAACGACTAGAGTTTGTAGGTGATGCAGTGCTGGACCATCTAATTACCAAGCACTTGTTCTTCAGCTACACAGATCTGCCGCCGGGACGCTTGACTGACCTGCGGGCTGCTGCTGTCAACAATGAAAACTTTGCACGTGTTGCTGTTAAGCATAACCTTCATGTACACCTTCGTCATGGGTCTAGTGCTCTTGAAAAGCAGGTTTGGAATCTTTTTTTAATATTTGTTTTAAACTTAAAAAGTGCCCTTTATCTTTTATGTTATTTATTTTGTGAAGTGTCATTTGAACATTTGTTTTGCTTTTTTCTGCCAAGGGTCCAGATTCGGAACTTTGTTTTTGAAGTGCAAAATGAACCGTCAAAAACTGAGATCAACTCTTTTGGTTTAGGGGATTGCAAAGCTCCGAAGGTTCTTGGTGACATTGTTGAATCTATTGCAGGGGCTATTTTTCTCGATAGTGGCTGTAACACAGCAACCGTATGGAAGGTTAGTTCTTACTAGGCTAATGGTTTTGAATTTATTGTAAAAATAATAATTTGTGGAGGATGATGAATCACGGTTTTGAGCTCAAAAAAATTGCTTTTATTTATCCCTTGATGCATTAATTACCAGGTGTTTCAGCCATTGTTGCATCCAATGGTTACTCCGGAGACACTTCCAATGCATCCAGTTCGAGAACTGCAAGAACGGTGCCAACATCAAGCAGAAGGCCTTGAGTATAAAGCGTCCAGAAGTGGAAATATAGCAACTGTTGAGGTGTACATTGACGGTGTCCAGGTTGGAATAGCTCAAAATCCTCAAAAGAAAATGGCTCAAAAATTGGCCGCCAGGAATGCCCTTGTTGCATTGAAGGAGAAGGAGGAGGCAGCTGCTGCTGAAGCTGACAAGGGTGAAGATGATGAGGAGAATAAGAAGAATAACTCCAGCCAAACGTTTACAAGACAGACCTTGAATGATATGTGTCTGCGTAAAAATTGGCCACTGCCATCATATANCCCCCCCCCCCCCCCCCCCGTCTCTTCCTTCCCTCCCTACAATGCACAAATGCACCCCTGGCAGTTTTCCGTACTATGTTAATGTACAATGATAAGAAAACCCACTGAGTAAAGTATTAATGATTTAATTCCTCCATTAATGCTCTAGAGGGAGGTGTGGGAAGGCGGGGCCCTTAGGTTGGAGGTTCAAACCTTTTTCGTTTTGAGAAATGTTGTTTGGCGATCTGAAATAGTTGGGTGTTTTCAGATGTGTCCATCAGGGTGGTCCGGCACATGCAAAGAGGTTCACATTTGCAGTACGTGTAAATACTTCTGATAGAGGGTGGGTAGATGACTGCATTGGGGAGCCTATGCCGAGCGTGAAGAAAGCCAAGGATTCTGCTGCTGCTGTTCTCCTAGAGCTCTTCAGTAAATGGTACCAATCATGATCCCTAGGTACGATACAAATTATTACCCGTTCCCTTTAAATTTTCATTTCACTCTCTTTGGCAATCGCTTCTCTAGCTCTTTGCATCATATAAAACCATCACTAAAGCCGGCCTCTAATCTCAATGTGCTGTGCTATATGTATACCACATTTGTACTACACCAAACTTGTACATTAACATGCAAACACGTGTCTTGTCTCGGCGGGCACACAAACTCGATGTGAATCCGAGAACCAAAAAAAATGTATGTGATGTTGCGGTACGTGTTGGTGTTCATATAGCATGAGTGAGTCTTTATACATGTATATAGAATGGAACCCCAGATCCTACTTTTGTGGGATTTTTCTGGGATTGTTGTTGTATATAGGATGACTTTTTTTTTTACAAGGCTACATTTGGTTGCTTTGGCTAAAACTGTTGGTAATATTCTTTGGATATGTTTCTTTTATCTGAATTTTAATACATTTACTCTTAAAAGAAATGTTTTCCTTCATGAGTGAGTAGCTGTAAATAAGTTTCTTTGTAGCAGTTTGTTTAGAACGGTAAGTCCAAGATTTGGGGAGTTTTACCCATATGCTGTCAAACGAAACAGAGAAGCTGTTTCTGCTAGATCTTAGATGCATTTATGTACTTACTGTCCGAAACGTCATAGAAAGTAAACTTTATAGAAAGTAGGAAGCAAAGGAAGTTAAGTGTGTCCATAACAATATGACGTTTAGGCAGGGTAACATTTGAATGTTGGTGCTCTAACATTCGAATGCTTAATGGCAGATTAGGTTGAACGATTACTTCTACAGTTAAGTGTGAACCGTTGCAATTTATCGCGAAACATTCGAGTGTTTGGATTCAAACTTTCGAATGTATCAAGCAATTTCCCACACGATGTGCTGGATAAACTCGACATCCGAATGTATTGATTTGTACATTCAAGCGTTCATCATTTTGACCCCGGTCAGAGGCTACCGCCCCTTGAACCCTGATCTCGGGGACTACCACACTCTGCATCTTCGAGCTCGTTAACAATTTTTATTAAAATTATTCTTAATAAATTTCAATTATATAAAATAGTCGATGACACTAAAATTACTAACAATGCCATCCCTTGAGACATAGAGTTGAGTTTTGTAATGTGTGTAGCTTTATTTTTATAGAAATCTTTTGGATAAAAAAAAACTTTACTACTCGTATAAGTTTCAAAAATGTTAAGGCAAGTTAATCGATACTTGTCAACATGTCCAAAAAAACGTGAAAAATGCCCTAAAGGCTCGGAGTTGTGTTTTGAGATTTTTGTAATTTTTTTTAGAGAATTAATTCGGGAGAACTCCTTAGATAGAAGTAAAAAACTATTAAAATAATAAAATACTACGTTATTTGAGAATGAGCGCTACTTTGTTTAACAATGAACACTTCGTTATTCGTAAATAAATATTAAAATTATATTGAGCAAATGTGTGAAAATGAATACTACGTTATTACTGAATGAGCATTACGTTATTTCAAGTAAACACTTATGTTTGTGCGAGAACGAATACTAATTTATTTCAAAATGAGAACTACCTAACTGTACCATACTTCTAGTATAGCCGGATGTACCATATACTCGTGTCTTTGGGGCTCGAAGTCAAGTTTTGTGATGACTTTTTTTTTATAAAGAAAACTCTTGACCTTGTCTTTACCGTAAGTTTCAAAAAGTGATAGCGGAAACATTTAGGCGAAGTTTCTTGAATATTTGATACTCGTTAAAAATGGACAAAAATATTATGATATCACTAAAGGCTTGGAGTCAAATTCTTTTTTCTTTTCTATATAACTCTCTATTAGAGAAATCTTTTAGCCTAGAAACCTTACCAAGAGTTGGACAAAGATAAGGAACTTTTTTGCCAATCTTCTTGAATTTTTTTTCTTCTTCAAATGGGAAACTAAGTACTCCCACCTGTCCCTCCGGTCCGCGTTACGATGTTTGACCAACTTTATTTTCAATTTAATTTATTTGATTGTATGTGTAAAATTAAAAATAAAAATTATATATCAAAAAATTACATCAAAAGATTTACAAAACAAGAAGTGACATAATAATATTATATTATCAAATGAGTAATGAAAATAGAAAAAACAAAATATATAAAATTTGATCCTGTGAATAGTGTTTGTATAAGGATTCAAGTGAAACAGAGAGAGTACAAATTGGAGAGAGCTCTCCAATGAAAAATACAAGACAAACTTTAATCTATCTCCTCCAAAGAGATCAAAGCCCATTTCTTCATCAGATTCCTTAGTTTTCAGAGTTGATTTTTTTTTCTTACGGAATTCATTCGGACTTGGAACTCTACCAAGTCCGAATATACGCATATCTCTGATTTGCACTTCACGTCTTCGATTAATCACATGCAGATTACAAGTATATGTTACAGACGACAAGTTTTTTTGTGAGCTTCTTTTGGCCGGGTATATAATTGTACAAGACAGTTTATATATAACATACTAGTACGTGTTTGGCATCAAATAATGGAGAACACAAACAGCTGCATTTTTGCACTTTCATTAAGTGGAAGACTCTCCTCCTCCTCCCAAACGAAGCCTCTTGCTTACCTTCTCCTCATCATCCTGATGAAGATGAAGATGATGATGATAGCTTGTACTCGTTACCCTGCTGTCTTTTGCCTCCACCGAGCATCTCTTGTAAGGTTTGAATCCCATGTGCCGAGCTTTCAGCTTCGCTTCTCCTATCTTCAACGCCAACGTGTTTTCTTCCCCTCCAAAAGGGGCTTCATCCATATTCCCAGAGTGAATCGGGCGTGCAAGCGATGATTTATCACTGAGGTCTAAGTGCAATCCGTTTCGTTCGCTACATACCTTTGCTGTAATATTTGAATCGTGTGGGCGTGGAAAGCTTTGGGGCAACACTTCTCTTGAAAAAAGAGCTTGGAAAGCAATTCGTCCCTATATGAAAAGTAAGCAAGCATCAACAGATATGAAGTAAATTATCACTACTGTTCTTCATCGTCATTGATCAAAACCTTAATCCCTATACTCAGGTAGAGAAATTTAGATTCATTGGAGAGAAAAAAAGGATAGGGACAAAGATTTACGCCGGATGTCCTTGCTGTCACAACCTTCTAAATAATGAAGAATGTGAGTTCAAAACCTGTCAATAAATATCATAGGCGTTTGAAATTTCAATGGAAATAAACCAGGTGACATCAATGAGGGGAGATAGGTCTTACATGTCAGTACTCTAAACATGAATTGGAAAATCTTGAAACGTGAACGTCAAAACTGATAAAAACACGTGCCGAAAAAGAAGGTGAGTTAACATTCCAATTACCTCCTCAGAGACTTCCTTCCAAGGGTCATTTATGTTGCTATTGCTCTTCCCTCGTCGGTTCCCAGAATCTGTTGGCGTATGGTTGATATGATAAGGATCTTTCGGATCTTGTTTATCTTTGTCATTATTCTCCAAAGCATCTGTCTCTATTTCACTGCTCGAGGGCGTATTAGAACCACACGAGGAGCGGTCAACCAGTTTTCTGTTCTTCTCCTCTGTGTTCGAACCAACAAGCGCGGTGACTCTTGCTGCCTGTTCAAGGGATCCTGTGACCTGTTCTTGAGCATGCAAATGGTCAGGGGTTTCATCCTTTCTCTCACTATTTCCCACTTTAGTGTCACAGGTACTCATAGGCATATTTGTTGCTGATGGTGTGGGATATGTGAAGCTTGTGTTGTGAAATGGAGTACATATTGGAAGGAGACCATTAGCAGCCCACCATGCTGTTGCTGCAGCCACAGTAACAGCTGCAAGTGCAGAGTCTGCTGGAGCCTCCATGTTTGAACAGGGCCATAAGCTACTGGCTGCAAAGCTTGCAGCAGCATGAGCTGCTGGGTTTTGCAACAAAGCAGAAACGATTAGACTGGAAAATGCCGAAGAGATGTGCAGACATGATCTGTAATGATTGGAGTTGCAATCCGAAGTAACCATGGGGTGGAAATTGGGAAAGACATGATGGGTGGAATGCACCGAGGGATCACTCTGATGCTGAGATGTGTTAGATAAGGTATGATGTCTATTATTAGTATTTATCCATGAGCTCTCCTCAAGTATATGCACGGGCACATGCCTTGGATAACGTCGCATGTCATTTTCCCAAATAATTCCACCTGGCTGGTTTGGCTCAGCAAGCCTTTCTCCATATCCTAACTTCTCTTCTAGTTCAACAGAGTTCCCCATACATGGGCTGCTACACGAACTACCATCCTGAAACGACTGTTTAGTATTTAGTTTATCAGTAGCTTCAATGGTGACATAAGACCTATTCCCATCATCCTGGATAGAGCCTCCTCCATTCACAATAGGCACAAAGCCCCTGAAAGTTGTTATTACTTCTGATGGCACAGAATCTCTGTTCCCAACTGAAGGAGAGGTAGAACCTGCTTGAAAAAGTGTTAGCATATCAGAGATAACATCCTCTCTGTTTTCGTTTGCAATGTCCAGTTTTTCATCATCACTAGGTTTCTGACATGAAATAAGTTCAATAACTGGTGTCAGCATATTACCAAATTTCTCACGTAATTGCTATCTTTTCACACATTATAATAATACATAAACAAGAAAGAGAATAATGTGTGAGCGTAATGCATTTGCACTGCCTGTGGAATCCATAAAAAGACTGACACAAAGTAAGAACTGTAGCGGAATACACATACCTCCAGAAGAGGTTCTTTGTCCTGGCAAGGTGGTTGTTTACTTTGGCACAAAGATGAATCTGCTGCAGATAACTTTCCATCCTTCGCCACCAAATTGCATGAAGCTGTCTTCCGACTCCGAGGATATGGATTAATGGGTTTCCTCTTCGGCCGTGGAGGAGGAATTTCTATATCAAGTGCTTGACCTATTGGAACTCCCTTAATAAGAGCCTCCTTTTCCAACTGCAGAATAGCAACATAGATGACAATTTGCACACTGTCTATAATGAACGAAAATAACACTCACAGTTGAAGACTTGAAGTCTAAAATATTTGGACTAATATATTGAGGATAGTATTAACCAATGTGCTGATTTTATCATCCATACAAGAAGTTCAATGTTGTGTATATGCCTGTGTTGGTAATAAAAGGTAAAGCATATGTGTCATCAAAGAAAAAAAGAAACTAACGCTGGAAAAGGACTAATGGGTACACTAGGAAACAAACCAATGTTACTATTGAGATACAAATTACTATAATTAATCGACAACAATCAACTATATCCCTAATCGTTGTAGGAAATACTCTTGAATTACTCATATGGTCTAAATTTTTTGAACTTGCTAAATCTCAACAACATTACCGAAGTGCCTCAAAGGCTCCCGCCCATTGCAGGGTAACGGGGTCTGGATGTACGCAACCTGAACCCTATGTTTAAAACATAGAGTGGTGTTTTCCATATGACTCGTGATGAGGGTCGAAAGAGTCATTGACTAAATCCTACTTCACTATAAAAGAAGCGCAGACAATTTAAAGAGTCATTTTACTTTATTCCATCATACCCCAAAGCCAAAAAATTGTGAATATTTGGCTCCATCACAGATGATGGAAATAACTTGCTAAATCTCAATAAAGTAGCATTAGGGTCAAATCACATGTATCTGCAAAAACATCTGCACTTAACTTCCAGCATTTAGATGCCTCATTGTAAAACAAACAATCTATGTGCACTGTAACACTGTTAACTTCCACAACTTGTCATTCCTAAAACATAAAGGCATGCACTCGAGAACCCAGAGTTATGGGGTTTCAAGTAGGAAAGTGATTCAGGAGCAAAGTTGTGAAGTTGATAACAAAAGCAATTATCAGTATATGCTCCAAAAGCAAAAAACTGGGTTGTGAGAACATAAACTCTCCTGACCTTTGTAAAGAACTTCTGTGCGTGACTCCGAATCTGCACAGCAGTCTTGGAGCCAATATGTTCTATATACACACAAAAAACAAGCGAGAGAACCAATAGAAAAAAAGTGTGAACTCAGATTTATGTTCAATATATAGACATAAAAAATGCACAACGAAAGTTTATACACCAAGAGGAATATAATGGTACTCCAATTCAGTAGGTTGATGTAACAATCTAATGGCAGCATAAATAAATCCCTCAACATGCAATTAAAATGGATTGGATATACACATATATGAAAAAGTGAAATGTCAATGTGAAAAAGAAGAATTGAGAAACAAGGAAAACAATGAGAGCCCAAAGTTGAGACCTTCAATACGCTGCCAAGCACGCCCGTAGAGCTTCAAAGCTTCAAGAAACATGCTATGTTCCTCTTCTGTCCATCGCTCACGCTGCTTGGTGATTGTATAAGGCTTCCTAGTCTGCCATAAAAGATTGGAGACTTCAACTACAAGTTCGAGACAAATTTTGGGAACTCATATTGAATTGCAGGGTGGGTAAACTGTAAAGAGGACCTTGACGACCGGTTCCTCTCCAGAGGAATAAGAGTCCATGAAAATACACCAGTCCTCTTTCAACTATAGCTACCTTATCGTCATCATCATCATCATCACCAAACACAAATTGATACTACTGTAAAAGAGCTTAGTTGGTAAATCAACAATTCTACTGAGATTCCCTTCTTCTCAAAAAGAAATTGGATTCGAGAGAAATTAAGAACAGAAATAAACACTTACAATCAGAATCCTCACAAAAACGAATCTTATGTTCGCAGAACCATAACAAAGAGCATAAAACAGCAGCCACGGGAGGAAGATCAGTCAGTACCTGGAAAAAGATCAACAAGCTCCGGCACGCGTCGCCGGAGACCTCATAATTTCCGGCAAGGGTAAATCGGAATCTCAAGAAGTTGCCGGGGGGAATACATAAATTTGGAATCTGGAGATTCACTGAAGCGGCAAGAGTGAAGAAGAAAAAGGGGGCGTTGTATTTATTTAATTAATTAAATAAAAAAATGATGAGAAATTTCAGCCACTAATTTGTTTTTTTTCTTTCAATTTCAATTTTGGAGTGAAATGGAGAGTTTTTTTTGAGGTTGGAAATGACTGAAAGACCGCAAGGGCGAGAAGATGATGCCACGTGGCGGGCGATTAAGCCCACACCCTGAACTTTTTCGACGCCGAGGGGTAATCTTGGTATATTACTTCAACTCCAAATCTACGCCACAAACTCAAAAACTTGTCCCGACTCTAGCCGTCAACTCGAATCCCATACAAATTCAATTTTGATTCCAACATTGTATTAAACAAATACAAATAGAGGCATATTCAATTCATTCGAATGACATATATATATATATATATATATATATATATATATATATATATATATATATATATATATATATATATATATATATATAGATCTCACAATATTTCAATGCGAGAAATCAAAATTTGCCTCCAAAGTCAAAATCAACTTGTGAGGTACAATTGAAGGGGGTGGGGTGATGTGTTCGGGGCGGGGTGGAGTGAGGGGTTTACTAGAGGGTTAAGGGGGTAGGAACCGTCAATTTTACCAACGGGGCACCGGAGCGCCCACGGGTCATCCCATGACATTGGTTCCCAGGGGTATGTATATATATATATATATATATATATATATATATATACACACACACACACACACTAGCATTTTGACCCGTGCCATGCACGGGGTTAAAAAAATCTTTTTTGCTTCTGAATTTTTTTCAATACAATAAATAAAGATAATATATTTCTCACAAATTTTTAATAACATAGAAAAAAGACAAAGTACTTAACGTAGTTTCTTTAATACTAAATTTTCTAAAAAAACCTCAGGGTGTAAAATATTTTTGGTATAGTTGTAAGGGTTTTCAATTTCATCTAGAAAAAATATTTTGAATCGTGTCTTTGTATTCACTTATGAAATAGAAACATAAAACTGACAATGAGTGAACACTGACTTAGTTAAAATAATCCAATAAATGACAATATTCAACCTTGATTTCGGAATTGTCTTCTTTGGAACTTCAGGGTAGTCCTAGACCGGATGGTGCCAAATTCAATGGTATATATAAACCTTTTCCCTGATCGACTTGATTTCACAAAACCAACAATAACACTGATAACATTCTTCCCTCCACCCCCATCCCCCCCCCTCCCCCGCTTTAAAACTATATTATGGTTTAGGATCTCTAAACATTTGGTTTTATTTTCATAAGTTATTCTTGAGGAGATAACTTATGTCTAGAATCAAGAATTCGGGTAGAATATCAAGGTCACTTGTTCCATCAATCACTTTTCTAAATTTCCATCTCCAAGTTTGGGTATCCCATCAGAAAAAGCTTGTGTCCCTATTCGTGCAAAAGGGCATTGATGAATGCAATCTTACTCTTTGTTAACGTATAAACTTTACAATAGGACCACAATTTTGATGAATTGATGGNTTTGGTCCATAATGCCTTTCTTATGTATATTAAAATAAAAGTGTTGGTCCATAATGCCTTTCTTATGTATATTTTAATCCACTATAAAATTTTTATATTTTAATCATCATTAAAATACCATTGTCATCATCATTATTATTACTATTATTCAACATCACTTAGGGACAAAATTTTAATCGGTGTTCTTTATAAATGATAGTTTTTCAAAAATAAAAGCTTCGGGTTACTTATGAAGCATATTTACTAATCATTATATAAATCCTTATTTTGAAAAAAGTAAAAATTGAAAGTGGTGGGTAGTTTTACAAATTTACATAAAAATAAATTTATCTTGTCCGATATTTTCAATAATAATTAAAATATTTGTAACTGCATATGTCCTTTTCCTTATTCCTTTAAATATTTTCCATGTTAGTGAATATATTTATATGAAACTCCACATGGAATTTCCCATTATTTTATAATTTATAAAAAATATGTATGAATAATTTAATGAGTTACAAAAAATCATAAAAATATATTCATTTTTGCCATAGTTTTCCTCATTTAAAATTTAATAAATAATTTTATTTCTAAAATAATAAAGTAATTTTGTATATTAAGAGCTTTAATAAGGAAACTTCAATTCAATGCTCTTGCTGACATGGATGAGGAGGTGTTAAAAAAATTGTCTAGTCAGCGTGCCAAATGTCGTAATTCTGGAAGCTCAACTCTCCTTTTTAATATATAAAGGATAAAGGATATATATATATATATATATATACATATATATATATACATACATACATATATATATATATATATATATATATATATATATACATATATATATACATACATACATACATATATATACATACATACATATATATATATATATATATATATATATATATATATATATATATATATATATATATATATATATATATATATGGGATTGACTTCAGTCAGATGACATGCTACGGTCAGATGACACAAAGCTCACCACTAGCTACTGCAAAGCTCACCAAGGACAACTACAAAGCTCACCAAACTGTAAGGCAAAACTTACCATATTTTTTCAACACTTTGAATTTTTTTTGAAAAAAAAAATCAAAGGAATTGGTGCTGACTAGACTTTGACCATTGACCGTTGACCATCACCGCCGCCGACCTCCGCCGCCGGCCACCGCCTGCCGCCGACGACCGCCGCCGCCGCCGCCACCGCCGGTGACCACCTCCGCCGCCGCCGCCGACGCTGGTGACCACCTCCGCTGCCGCTACCGCTGCCGCCGCTGGCGACCACCTCTGCCGCCGGTCTCCGCCGCGCCGCCGCCACTGACCGGTGGTTGACCGGTGTTGCTATTTTATTTTTTATTAATTTTTTAATTTTCAAAAATTAAAAAAAGGCGAATTTTGGTGTTCAAAGTTGTGAGCTTTGCCTTATTTCCAGGTGAGCTTTATATTGGCCATTGGTGAGCTTTGTAGTTTAATGTGGTGAGCTTTGCGTCATCTTACCAAAGCATGTCATCTCACCGTAAGGTGTCATCTCACTGGAGTCAATCTCTATATATATATATATATGTATATGTATATATATATATATGTATATGTATATGTATATGTGTATATATATATATATATATATATATATATATATATATATATATATATATATATATATATATATATATATATATATATATATATATATATATATATATATATATATATATATAAACTCTTGAAAAAATATACCTTGTAGGAAGAACATGGTTTTGAGCAATTTTGTGCTAATAATGTGTTAAAAATAGAAGAAAAAATGCTCAGAGATTATAAAATAGATATGATATATTCTGGAATCTTCTTGTCTCTAGATATTTCTCTTCATGGGATTCTTATGCATACATGCAAGGATTTGATCCTCTATTTAAAATGAAGTGGCCCAGTATGAACACTCATACAAATCAAAGGAAAATATTGTACATATGGCTGTTTAATTATTGAATGATGGTGATTATGCTCCTGCAGACCGTGTTGATGTGTGGTGGAGGTGGTTGAGCTAGAGTTGAATAGAATGAGCATTCACATTATTTCATCTCATAACAAGGAAAAAATTAAGAATGAATATATATGAATTTTTGTTCAATTCATATTCAATGTTCGGGTATCGTCTAAAGCTTCATGTGAGTTTTATTGATTGTTTCACAATTGCAAATGTGTTTGTTGAATTCATATTCATCATCACAATATGTATTGACTTTTTTTTTTGTATATACTCGATTTCATTTGCATTTGTTCCATTTCAATTTACTTCCATATTCTATTGTGTTCAGTAAATTTCATATTTAATTCATAGTAAATTTCAAATATTATTATTATACTCAGTTTGCTTCAATTTCACAAATTTTAATCTATTTCTGATTGCAAACTGCCCGTGTTTTAATAATGTTACCTAGATGATGGTTCATCAACACAGACTGACAGTCAACTCTTGTGCAATGAAGGGTTTTTTCTTTCATGTTCGGATGAATGTAAATCTAGAATTGGTATGCTTTTTATGAAATTAAAAGAAGATATTACAATCTACAAGCTTTATGTATCATTGGTTGCTCTTGACACACGAAAAAGCATGACCACAAAGTCACATGATGGTATAATTGTGTGGCATTATGTTGTTTGTAACTGCGAGGGGCAAAAACATATTTCTGCTCTTTCTAGGCCACTTGTTCAAGAGTGTGAAGATGCTATTCCCCCCCCCAAAAAAAAAAAGAGAAGGTGCATTTCAAATTGTGTATGATGTAATAAGGCACACATGACATTTAGACTATTGGGCACCGACGGTTATTCCATTACATTTTATAGAGAACGCCACAGCTCTTGGTTGTAGGATCACACATATTTTTCCAACAACAACCATGCTATGGTGTTTACCTCTAGCGGCTATCCTCACAAAACCGCTTCCGTCGGCTTTATTTCAATACAGGTGCTCTAGGCCGCTCCTCTTTACCGGTGATCAGCTTTCGGAGGGATATTAGGAATAATGAAAAGATATTATTTACTTCAGAGTAGGAAATAAGATATTATTATTATTATTATTTACTTTTTTTGCTATTGCTTGCAGGACTTTCATTTCATTGTACTTGGTGCTTTATCCGTGTTATACTGTGTTCCCTACCATATTTTTTGTGCAGGTTGAGCCGGGGGTCTCTTGGAAACAGCCTCCCTACTTCCGAGTAGGGGCAAGGTCTGCGTACACACACCCTCCCCAGACCCTACTGTAGTGGGACTCAACTGGGTTGTTGTTGTTGTTGTTACTTTTTTTATTCTATTGCTTCTATAATGGTTAGTCTATTATTATTAGGATTCTCTATTGTAATAATCGCTATATATTGGGATGTAACATTTATTATTTAATAAGATCAATTTTTATCAAATTGTATCAAGCAACTTACATCGATACAAATACAATTATATTAATACACACGCATTCGTGGACAATGCATATGGGATCATACATTCCAATACAAACAAGCTTATGTATAAAGGAAGAGCTTGCCTTTATATATGCTCTCACACTATATTATTGGATATTTAAAATAAACACCACTATATTATTCTTTAGACATACAAACTTACCAAATATTTGTGTATGAGCTTAATTGTTATTGTAACAAAACCATTTAAAATATCATTTTTCTAAGCTCATTCAAGAGTTGGTCGCTGTTGCAAAATTTTCAGCCCCATGTACCTGCATCACAACATAAATAGATCGATACGTGAAGAAGCTAAGGCTCACTAAATGCCTTTCATCAAATAATAAGTAGCGGAAAGAATACCTTGACAACTCACCCCTCCAAGAAAGTCATAAAAAATTGTCACAATTGAGAAAAAAGAAAGAGAGCATTGCCCAGATCCAAGAAAAAGACAAAGAATGCCAAAGATCTTTAATCAAAGAGGCACCTCCAATAGCCTTCTCTGTTCTTCTTCGACGTCAGTACCTATAAGTGCACGTCAACCTTCTCTCTTCTTCAAAGATGTCAGCAGCTACCAGCGCATGTCAGACTTCTCTCTTCTCCAACGACGTCTGCAGCCACCGGTGCATGTCATACTTCTCTCTTCTCCAACGACGTCAGCAGCCACTGGCGCACGTCAGACTTCTCTCATCTCAAAGTTTCTAGTTTTTAGCTAGTGTCCAAGCTTCCTCTTGCTTCAGCCAGAGTTCAGCTTGAGGGGGGATGTTAGACAATAATAATAGTATTACTTATGGTAGTATTGGTTATGGTAGTGTTTTATTATTAGTCAGCTTCCTATTCCTATTTATGGTAGATGTAGTATTTTAGTGAGTTTCCGTTCTCTATTTCTAGTTGTGTTAGGAGTCCCTCTTATATATACTCTATCATGTACTCCATAATTTAGCGAGCAACATTATTATTCCAATGTTTCAAAAAATTACCTTCCCAACATCATGATAGTTGCCTGGGGATTAGTTCCTGGGGCGCTAAAAAAAGTGGAGGCATCAACTACTCGCAAAGCATCAACACCGATCACTTTGTAATCGCGATCAACAACGCTATCCACTCGGCACCCACCATGGTAGTGACACATGCTAAACACATTCTCCACACAAAACTGCTCAAACGAAATAGACTTGCGGTGGTGTTTTGGTCTTTGGTTGATGGGAATAGTTGCGGCTAAGTTTAAGATAGATTGAAATGAGGAGGAGGGATTTCGCAGGGAAGCAAAGGCATGTGACTCAAATACTTTTTTGATGACTTCCATGCCTCGCACGCATGTCTGGAGGTCCCTCGAGTCCTTGAAGTAGTTAAAGGTGACCGTTGGGTTGTCATTGGGGTCCCTATTCTTGAGCTCCAAATGCCCTTCAGAGAAAGTCTTATTCACCTTGGAAAATAAAGCCCCACCTTGCATCTTCATATCCGGAAAAGACATGTTAATACCAGCTTGCATGAGGACTTGTATGGCTTCAGGGACAAGAGCCAATCCACTAAGCGTTTCAATGTAATTCCCTGAATGAGTTATGCCCACAACGTCAGAAAATGAGGTCTCAACCGGCTTAATGGATGGAACTAAGATTCTGCTCAATAGGTTGTCAGCCATGCGCTGCCCAACCATTTGTTGATCGAGTATGACATCTATCCCATGGGATTTGAGATGATCAGATGGCCCAATACCACTTAGCATCAATAGTTGCGGGCTTCCAATTGCACCGGCTGAGAGAATAATCTCGCTATTGGGCCCTCCATTTAAAAATGCCGTGTGACCATTCCCTTTTGAGTCCTTGAAGAAAACTCCATAGGCTATGGGTTTTCTCCCTGCGTTGTATAGTATTTCACAAATTTCATTAAGACTATATATGTTAATGATGGTGAAAATATTAATTTAGCGATTCGATTGATCTATCATTTTCAAAGAATAGATTGACCGACCTGGGGAAGGAATCTTGAACAAGATCTGGTGAACCACAACATGCAAGTAGAGAGTAATTTTAGTGTCATCAGCGTAATCCAACAAATCCGCAGCACTATGCCTATACCCATTCTCATCACATATAGAGTTCCCTATCTTGGTCCCCTCCAAGTGCTCATAAGTTCCTCTATTGTATGGCACCACCCCGGCCTCCACCAACCTGTCCTTTACCGCCGCTTGCCATTCCAACAATGTTTTCACCCGAAAAGTCAACTTCCTCTCAACCCACATATATGACTCGTTCACGAGATGTGGGTCCCACCCTGCCTCGGACACCTCCTCTTTGCTAGCCCTCGAGTAATAGCCAACGTTGATGGCCGAGCCGCCGCCTAAAATGCGTCCCCGCACCAGTCGCACACCGTCCGCTGACACGAACTGCTGCGCAGCTGAGGCGGGTGACATGTCGAAATATGTGTATGCAAAACCGCTTTGGTGCGTTGCGTTTGGATTGATGTACGGCAGGCCGCCCCTCTGTAGCAGAAGCACTTTTACAGAGGTGGATAGCGTTGCCGCCAGTGCACAGCCGGCAGTTCCGCCTCCGATGACTATGTAATCGTAGTGACCCGCTGTTGCATTTGCTAATGTTGCATCTTTTGTAAAAAAGCTGTATGGAACTAATGTAAGGTAAATTTTAGTGCCAATATCATTAGTTTAAATTAAAAATATGCATTCAAAATATATTATGGTTCTACTTTTGGAGTTATAACTCTTAATTTCTAACATTTTTCATTTATTTTCAATTTCTTCCAATCCCTTTCTATATTCCCAACTCTTTCTAGTCTCTTCTAACTTTTTCTAGTTTCTTCCAATAATAATCTAAAAAGACATTTAAGAGTATTTTTCATAATTTATTATTATTATTATTATTATTATTATTACTATTATTATTATTATGGTATTATTATTATTATTATTATTACCTATAACTATTATTACAACAAAAACTATTATAATCATCATCATCATCATCATCTATCTCAATAGAATAGAAAATTGATGTAATGCCACACTATTTAAAAAAAAATTCTTTTGTCTTCAAAATAAATTTTTAGATATGCTAATTCAGAAACAAAAATAATATGATAGATATTGATATTAAATAGTAAAAAAATGAAGTGAGTTTGAGTCATACAAATATTATCAATATGGTTTGTTATAAAAACATATAAGGAGATAGACGAAAATAAAAATGTCAAATATTGAAAAAGTAAACTATAAATTATTTGAATAAAATATAAAATTTATAAAATAACATAATTGTTAGAGTGTCATCCCACATCAAAAGTCCAAAAGTAAAATAATCGGTATATAAGCTCTTGAGTTGAACTAATTAATCGATTGGATTCAATCTTTTAATGTGGTTCAAGCCAAGTGTCTTATTGCCCAATCCAGAAACCCTTTCTCCATCCTAAATGTTATCAATAATGTTTTCAACATGTTTCATTTCTTTCAACTCTTTTAATTTTTTTCTAACTTTTTCTAATTTCTTATAATTCCATATAGTTTCTTACAACTCCTTTCGATTTTTCTAACTCATTCAAGCTTTTCCTTTGTCCTTGCTTTTCCAACTCATTATATTCTAGCTTTTCGAATGTCTTCTAATATCTTTCAACACCCATTTCAATAATATTATACTCCTCCATCCTAAAATAATAGTCTACATTTGATTTTGAACGGAGTTTAATAAAAGTAAAATCATAAGGATAAAACTAATGGAGAGAAGAGAGAAAAAATATCAGACCAATTTTTTTTTTTAAAAGTTGAAAGAAAACTCTTTTTTTACATCCCGAAAAGAAAATGAGAATTACACCACATTATTTGGGGATATAGAGATATTTTGTACAAGGATATAGTAATTTTAAATTTTTTAATTTTATTTTTAAAATTTTTACAGAGATATTTTTAGAGGTATTTTGGGGATATAGAGATATTGTTAAATTTTTATATTTTTAATTTTTAAATTTTGTTTTTAATATTTTTATTATTTATTTATTATTTAATTATTATAAGTATTTTCATGTTTATTTTTATTTATTTAATTTATTATTATGATCTTATCATAATCACTATAAGAATTATTATTTCGATTATTAATATTATTATTAATATTAATAATATTTTTAATGATTATTATTAGAAATAATAGATGTATTAAGAAATAGAATACAACAACAACAACAACAACAACAACAACAACAACAACAAAGCCTTATCCCACTAGGTGAGGTCGGCTACATGGATCAAACGACGCCATTACGTCTAATTGTGTATCATATCTGCTGTTAGAATATTAATATTTATTACCTTCCTTATTAGGAGTATATTATTTCTTTATTTGTACTCTTACTATAATTCTTCTCCTACTTAGACTATGATTCTGTCTTGTAGTCCCTATATATAGGGATGTATTTTTCATTATTCAATAACACCAATTATTATCTTATTGTATCATGATATCGGAGCTAAGGTTCTAAAAACTATAGCCCCTTCTTTTTCAACCGAGCACATCGCCGGTCTGTGTTCATGGCATTCGACTATACGACAGTATGACATCACTGACCGATCTCGACGAGTGTGCCTAATAGTAGCTGTCTATTATCCCTCTCTTTCTCTACAAAAAAAAACTATTATCGCTCTCTCTTCCAAAAAAAATAATTCATGTACGTGAGCGAAGAATAGGAAAGTTACATTTGTTTGTGTTTTTTCCAAGAGATGGAGAACATGGAAAGCGATAGAGAAGCCGAAGATGGACCAAAAAGGAGAAAACACAAACTCCTCGCCCACGTTCCAATCGCGTGCCAACACTCTCTTTGGAAAAAACTTAGCAAGCGTAATCTCAAGCTCGTTCATCATGCATCAAAGATATGACTCTCTACCTCTAGAGACTATCCTCACATAAGTCCTTCAATTCTGCCGGCTCAATTCCAGTACCTATATATGCTCCAAGCTTCTCCTCGTTACCGATGATCAGCTTACAAGGGAGGTATTATGAATAATAGATGTATTAGAAATTTTATTATTTATTACCTCCCTTATTATATTATTTCCTTATTGTATTGTTATTATAATTCTTCTCCTACTTAGACTATAATTCTCTTTTGTAATCCTTATATATAGTAATGTATCCTTCATTATTTAATAAGACTAATTATTATTAAATTATATCAATTATTATTATTATATTATTATTTTATCATCATCATTATTTGGATTATCAACATTATTATTAAGGATGGAAGGCATGAAAGTGATGGAGAAAATACTAATTTAGTAGTTGATGGGAAATATTATCTGGTCAGAATTTCTTGGTCTAAATTTCCCAATTAATATTACCATAATTATCATCGCCAATGACTTTTCACAAATTACCCCATCATTATCCCTAAGTCAACTCCATACCATAACCACTTTCACTATTTACTCCTCTCCTAAAATGCATCCACTATCATCTCCCACTCCATGATTTCTTCTCTTTTATCATTATAAAAGGAGAATGATTCTTTCAATATGGGGAGGCCAATATCCATACTCTCTTTCATACTACCATGTAATTATACTCTATCACATTACTTAGAAAATACTTCTTGTATTATTTATTCTTTATAGAGCTAAAACGGTCCATCGGTAGCTATAATGCCAAGATTATGTACTATGTACTACCCCCGATATTAATAAAATCTCTTCGTTGGCATGGTACAGTCGGAAAAGGCCCGTGATTTTCTCTCGATTTGGATTTTCACGTCAAAAATAGCTTGTTTATATTTTTGGTGATTGTTAGGCTCGTTTATCATTTCGACACAGTAAAAATGATAAAACCAATTGAAACAATTAACACCATCATTTGGCGCCACTTGTGGGACCAATTAAATTTGGCCATACAAAGTGTTGAAATCACATGGGGGGTGATGAAAGAAAAATTCTCTCTTCTCAGAGTTTCCATTCTCACCGGCGCATGTCAGACTTCTCTCTTCTCAAAGTTTCTAGTTTCTAGCTAGTGTCCAAGCTTCCTCTTGCTTCAGCCAGAGTTCAGCTTGAGGGGGGATGTTAGACAACAATACTAATAGTAATTCTTGTAGTATTGGTTAGGGTAGTATTTCATTATTAGTCAGTTTCCTAATCCTATTTGTGGTAGATGTTGTATGTTAGTTAGTTTTCATTCTCTATTCCTAGTTGTGTTAGGAGTCTCTCCTATATATACTCTATCATGTACTTCATTAGTCAGGGAGCAATATTATTATTCCAATATTTCAACACAAAGATCAGTGCTCGAGCCATGCAAAGTCCATGAAGATCCCACTACAAACTTTGGAAGTATGTTCTCAAAAAAGTAATCTTTTGGAATATTTCTCCTAAAATATTCAAGAATCCTAGAGAGATTTTTGAATTTCAAAGAACAATCAACCCTAGAAGAGATCCATTTACCAAAAATCATCTCTCTCTTAAAAGAAAACGTAAAAATAGTCCCTGTTTCGATTTAGAGAAAAGCATTAGCCTGCCACTATTGAGGCATGTTCCCCAATGTCACTGGAGGACTGCTTCCACGTCGTGACGTCAGCCAAGAACTCAGATCCGATAAATGGAAGTTGCCTCTGTTGAAAGGAATTTGCCTAGGCGGCTTAGATTTGTCGCCACCTTCAGTGATAAAATCCTTCGTCGTCGCGGCCTCTATTGAAAGGAATATAAACTTTCATAGTCATAACAGATGATGTATACCGGATGATTGAATGCCAAGTTAAAAATTAAATGATGGTTGGAAGTCTGATCTTAAAAAAATCAAGACTAGATGCCATCATACCTATTCATCACGTATAGACTAGCGATGCATTAAACATACAGACTGGACGATATGAAAGATGCACGGGACTGAGAGCTCCAGTGACCACCTTTACAGGGAAAGACTTAACCACAAACCGGGGTAGGGTGGAAGACCTAACCACACGATCAGAGTGGAGCGGTGATAAAAGATGTCTAAAAAATAGATAAAATAAAAACTTAAACCTATAAGAGGGATGTTGTCCGAAAGAGGGCCATATAGAAAAAGAAAGAGAACAGAGCTTTTGTCGGGGACGCCCGATTCATTTAAGCCCTCTAAATGAGGCATTTTAGATTCGTATCCGAGAGACATAGAAGAGATAATTACTTACACCGGTTAGCGAGACTAACACCGATATAACAGTTGATTTAATTTGTATCGACCCGGGTGATACTAATTACGTTACACATTAATATGTGTTAACAACAGTCTCGTTGACAAAACGAATGACTGCGGCACTGATTCGCTCCATATCAAAATCATTTTTGTTGAGATGAGTTGTTTGATTTGCTCTAATATTGAGCTATTCGATCAAAATATTTATTATACCTGATATGACTCAATTAGTCGAAAAAATATATATTGCATTTTTTGAAAAAAAAGAAAAGAAAAATCAGAAGATATAGTCGAAGAAGCTCAAAGACCAGCGAAGGACAAGAAGGACTAGAAAAAAGAGTTTGATGATCTTATCAACCCATCAAGAATGTAACACGTGATGATTGAAGATATGACTCGGAGGAATTGTTTACTTTCTTGAGTTGATGATTCTCACAACTCAAAAAAGTGGAGGACTTCATGATG